GTCCTCATCCCAAACAGGTGGTGCACTCCACTTCCATGATGACGCCAGGGAGTGTATGTGCTGAGTTTGTTCACTCCGCACAAAAACCAAGAGCTGCCCCTTTTTCTCGCTGATGGAGAAATGGTCTGAATCAGCTCGCCGGCCTCATTGACTGTGGGTCCCAAACTCCAAACCCTAATCAATGCCAGGTAAATGCCACCATGGTACTCACAACTTCGTCTCTTCCGTTCCTTTTCGCTTTGCTCCCACGCCGGTCGACGGTCTCCTCCCAGACCCGCGCCGGTCGCTCGCGCGGACCCGCGCGAGGTCTCCGCGCGCGGCAGCCGCGACGTCTTGGGGCCCGTGGAGTCGGCGCCGTTGGAGGCGCTCCACGCGCCGGTCACGGTCACGGCGAAGGCGACCGGGCGGCCGGGCGAGCGGGGGAGGGGAGAGAGGGTGATGGGAACAAGGCGAAACTTGGGCCCAAATGGGTCTGGTTTTGCGTCGGGTGCGAAGGGTATCGTTCTGGGTGGCTGTTTGGGCTGTTTGTCATTTTCGTTCTACACTTTGTGAAGTGTTGACACCGGTGGTGGGGAACGGAGCAAGGGATCTGGACTCATCGTTCAAGACCGACCTGGGTGATTGAGTTGTGGCCATCCGAAAAGCCTTTAAGTCGATACGATCGTCTCGATGAAGAAGGAGACACTGAGACACGAAACCAAACGCGATCTGAACGAGAAAGCGTGCGGGTATTAAAATGGGGAGAGCCTCCAATCCAAGTGTGGGACCTATTTGTTTTTTCATTCACGCCCACATATGTAGTCTTGGGTGCAAGCCCTCTCTTCTAATATACATGGGCGGCAATGAGCTCGTGATCCTGGACAGCAACACAATATGCGGAAGCTTTTTGACTCTTTTTGTAGTCGGAACCTGTTCGGTCCTGGCCATAATCATTTTTAGGGCGCTTTAGAGCACTGCATATGGCCAGGAGAGAGAGGAAAGAGCAGCTTGGATTTGGATTGGGGAGCGGTTGCCGGGTGTCTACATGGTAGATTTGTGACATGGTAGATTTGTGAACAGATCGGGTGTGTATTAGAATAGGGAGCCTCAAAGACCCCCGGAAGAAGGAAGATAGACCAACACCGATTGGGTCAGGGGGTCTCCCTATGAAAATACACACACCCAGATGTTTGTAGCCTAAAAAGTTTGGGTTCCTGGCGATGAACTTTTGTCTCCTCGGTTCCGGTTTTGAGATTCAAAACATACTCCGTCAGTTCCCTCCGCCCAGCCCTGCAAGAAGCTCCCCTTGTCTCTCAGCTCCCGTCAGCTGAGGAAGCTGAGTCTGCGGAGGCGGGGGCTTCAGAGAAATCGGACGCCCGGTGCAGGAGTCAATGGTCGATCGCCAGCGGCTCACCCAGACGGCTCACCGAGTGTCAGAAGGCGTTTCAAGACACCTTTGGGGTTGACATGTGTGGCATGATGGTTCTGCCATCACATCTCCAGGTCGATGAGGACCCAGCGCGAAAGATGAAGTCTTTGGAGTCTTTGGAGGTGCCATGGCATGCAGCCGGATGTAGCTTCATGGTGCATGGTGCATGTTAGCTTCATGGTGCCGTGAGGTAGTGGAAGTGATTCTCGTCCACCTGTCTGAGTCAAAAGGCCTTTACATCATCACCATCGGTTTGCGAGACCAAGACAGTGACAGCTGGGTCTTTTTTCCTGGGACCAATCCAACGTTCTTCCTGCCATCCCACCCAACTTCCAGGTGTTTTTTTTTGCTTTTTTCCTGCGCTGCACATCTCCCGAAGCTCGGCGTTGCTTGCGCCTGAGGAGATGGTCCCCAAGAAATCCTCGGAGCCTTGATGCGAATGCGGGTCGAACGGGACGGGCATGCGATGGTCACGGGTGAAGCTGGTGTAAACCTGGGAACCCTCCGTTTACCAGGAGGCATGAAAAACATCCATGAATCATCGTTTGTATAGCCCTTGGTTTGCCACTAGACATCCCAAACGACGAAGGCAAATTTTGGCAACGTTTATTCTGGGCATTATGCAAATGTCTTTCAGCCGATTTGAACACGCGGATTTTTCTCAGGAACCGCATTCTTGTCATTTGGCTGGAGGCCCTATGTCAAGAGGGAAAAGGTAAACGAGCAACCATGGCTTGGTGTCCGACACCTGAAGTAGAGTGATTTCTGACCAACCATAGCTTCAAATACCAGACCACAAAAAGACCTCATGACAGGTCTGAACTCGATTTTTGGGGCTTCGACCACAGCCGACCTGTACAAAGCTGGAGGCTTTGTTCGGCTTCGGGCGCTTCGACTCGAGGTGAAAGAGGCCTGGGGCTGAAAGCAGCGAGGCCGGAGGAGATCCAACTGAAGGGGGGGCATTGAAGTAAGTAGGGATGGACGGAGGCTCAAGTCCAATACCTATGCGACCAAGCCACCAATAGAGTCGGGGCGTTCGCGCCAAGCTGGTATCTTGTTTCAAGGTGCTTTGCTGTCGAATTGTGTTTCCAGCGGCGTTCGATCTTGGGGATGCTTGCAATTGGGAGATGAGACCATTGGTTGCATTGCTGGTGCTGAAGCATCCAGTCATGCACATACAAAGCATTCCATTGGACCACGGATCCTCCCGAGTTGAGCCACTACATGGATACCGCAGCTGTCATCCTGGTTTGGGTCTTGTGGGCAAGTCACTGCATTTTGGGCACTTTTGGGTAGCATGCCAGCTCTTCATGAGTCCACCTGCTCACCCTGCAAAACCCCTGAGGTGCGGGGCCCTCCAGAGGCTGCACGTGGGAAGTTGGTTGAGCAGGAGAGACTGCGCCTGCCACATGTACATAGCGGGAACGCCCAGGCTGTAGGAGCAGGAGAGTGTGGGCAAGCAAGCAAGGGAAGCAAGTGGGATTGAAGGAGGCTGGGAGACTTTCAAATCTTAGACTTTCTAAGGATCCTCTATAGGTCTTTGAGCATAGGTCATCCAGGTCATCACGAGTGTCTCAACATAATCAGATCACTCAGTTGGACCGAACCAACATCAGCTCACGAAAGAAGACTTCTTGGCACCCCTCTCCCTCTCCCCTGCAAGAATCCCTTGCTGGCTTGCCAACCTCAGCTGGCTCGAGCTGGCTCGATACCACGGGCCGTCTCCGACCAGGCGAGACTCTCGGCGTCACCTCGCCTCCATCCGTCTCCCATCGGCCCATTGTCAAAAGATCGGCGCCGTGGCCGGTGGTGCTGAAATGATCCACCGGGGATCCAATCGGAGATCCAATGATGGGCAGGGTGAGAGGGTCAAGTAAGCGCGATGTCTTTGAGTGCACAGTGGTAAGATATGGTCTGCTAAGCTAAGTTGAGGTGGAAAGCTTTGAGGGTTCGTTTTGTTTCTGAAGCATTTGTTTCTTTGGAATCAACTCCTAGTTTGACCTATTGGCTTCTTCTGCCTTCGAGAAACTGACGTCAGAGACTACGGTTTGGGTCGTTTTGGAGTCCTGCTCAAGGGTGAAAGATCTTACAACTATGTTAAAGGCAAAACCCAAAGGTGAAGATCTATTTCAATGTCTCTATGTTTCAGAAGGAGATAACTGAGCTCAATCATGAAAGAGTGTGCCAAATTCCAAGTGATAACTGCCACAGTGGTGATTGGATCCTCGAGTCACGAGTGAGTCCATTGACAGGTGATGCTTCACGCTCGGTGATGGTTTCAAGACTCGCAGAGCGAGAACCAAAAAAAGCAGGAGATGCGGCTAGCCATTGCAGCCTTCAATCGCCTTCAGGTTTCCGAGAATTGGCCCCACAGCCCGACCAAGAGTGCCTTCCCTTCATCCACCCCTTTTTGCTTCTTCGTCCACTCTTCGCCGGTGCCTTTTCCACGGCTCCCTACCGCGGCTCCGCGCCCGCTCCGCCGGCGCATCATGGGTGGCTCCAGGAGACGGGGGACGGATCTGGAGACGGGTGGGATGAGTTACACGTGCAGAGAGGACCGAGGATGGGAACACCGCTTGGGGGCCGACTCTTCGTTTTTTTTTGGAAATATATAGGAGCATATAGACTCTTGACCTGAAAGATGTGACACATCCAGATGACGACCCACCTGGGTAGCCCGTTGGGGTTGCTCCGACCTCAGCCAACGTGTGTGTGGATCTGCAAGCGTGGTCTTTGAGCCTCGCAGTTGCAGGGCACACGGAAGATTATGGTCACCAGATTGAGGGGGTCTTTTTTGCTCGCCTTTTCACCTTCACGTTGTGCATTTTTCCTTGCCACGGGATGAACGCAGTGGCTTTGAACGATGGAACTCGGTTCGGGGTGATGGAGCTCTTGAGGCCGCCACCCTTGCATTCCAAATTCGGACGTCTGATTAGGGCTTTCCAGTCATTAATAGTCATGTTATTTTTGCCGGGCATGCCCCGGTCAACAAGAAGATACAGTATCCAAAAACAGCGGGACTGCAGATGCCCCTCTCTCTCTCTCTTTTTCTGGAAATGTGGTAGGCAGCTGATCTCTTGGCTCCAGCTACACTTTTCAAGCACGGAAAAAGGGTCACACGCTGCGAGCAGCATCGAGGCAGCCCAACACAGCTATGTATTCGCAACAATGAGCTGCTGGCACGGTGGGGTTCCACAGGTTCAGCCACCCAATGGCGCTATGCGGGTGCTCTACAACAGAAATTGGTTCATGGTACTGTACCAGAGAGCAAAGGGTTGAAATCCTCCCGTCCGGGACTGGTGTCTGCCTCACGTTCTCGCCACGCTAACGCGCCCGAACCCAGGACACTGGTAAGGATGACCCGTGAACCCAAGGGGTTTTATGCCCTATAGCACCCAGGCACACCGGTTGATCAATGGTGACTTTTAGACATCAAAGAACTGCTTCAGAGGCACAGAAAGAGGTGCTCCCCAGGTGGTGGGAATCGTTCGTTTTGCGTCCAATCACTCCACTTACAGTGCTCGATTGACCTCCCAGCTGGGTTGATCTCTTGTACGCTGTTTGAAACAGCGCGTGCTGGCCAAACGACGCCATGGACATCACCGAGTCTTTGAAAGACTACTTCGAGATCTCCTACCAGCACGGCGGCTTCTCGGTTTTTCGACCAGACCCGGTCCACCAAGGTCCACCGACCCGGTCCGCAACACGACCGACAGCCATTGGGCATTGAGGAGGTTCCACAGCAAAAGGGCAAGGGTCACTATGTTTTCTTCTTTTCGTTGGAGGCCAAGGCCACCATTTTGATATTCCTGATCAGTCATGAATCAGTATGTTCATGGAAGAGGGAAGACACTAGCAGTCACTTGCGCCACTGGAAATTGATGGCAAGTCACCGCAGTGTCCCATGTGGTGCTAGATTTGCTGTGAGATTTGCGATGAGTGGACTTGGAGCTGGATAAAGGACCGTAGGATGGACGGTGGGTGCTCAGACACAGGGTGTTTTCGCACAAAACTGCGCTCGGACCGGGACCTCTCAACCATCGGAGTGATCGTGGACTGCGAAGTCATCCATTTAGCATCTTAATGCATCTTAGGTTTTTTAGGATCTTGTTGGTGATTGGGAGCTTTGCCGTGTTTGTACTGCTCAGCACCTGCAAGTCATGTCAAAACATCCTCATCTTGGAACGGACGAACATCACTCCTTTGCCAAACCCGTTGAACTGCAAGGTGTTGTCAAACAAATCAGCTTTTCCCAGAGGTACTAGCTTGAGTGTATAATACTTACCCCAAGCGATCCTGAGACCCTCCACTTGAATCCAGTGTCCGGGACCTTGAAGAACACGTTGAAGAGATCTATTGCACTTGAATCCACTTCGAACTGCGGCATCGGGTTCTTTTCACGCCGGTCCGATCGATGTGAAGGACCACCGGACCTGCGGCCGTCACCGAGGCATTTTCGAGCACCCAGATTACGAGTGGTCTGAGAATGAAGCTCAGCTGTCAAGTTCGCGCCACGTGGCATGGCATGCTGCGGCTCGAAAAGCTGGTTTGGGATGGTTTGGGGCATGTTTAGGAGTTTCACCCTCAAGAGTCAGCATGAAACCAGGTCACCAACATGCAAGGCGGATGAATAGGACACACCTCTGCTTTTCCTACTCATCCTTTGTCTGCGTGGGTTGGTTGCGAAGTTGGCTATGTCTTGCTTTCGCTGCAGTTCTTCCCCTTCAGAGAGCTCCTCTGAAGTTGGATCCAACGCGGGGGGTGAAACCCAATCAATCACATGCTTTGCAGAAGGTCAGGGACCGTGAGGGAGGTGCTACCTCCAGAATCTCGAACTTGGGACAGCCACACCTGCAGTGACAGGCTGTCAGGGCCCTCCCGAATGCACTCCACTTAGCCCCCAAGTTCTGGACACTCTTGCCCGTGATCGGCATGAAGCCAATCGCAAACTGGGTTCCAGCTTCACAACTTCCAGTTCAGTTGGCTATTCACTATTCACTCACATCATGGCAAGAATGCAAAGCTCCATTTTTCCACAGTCAGCATCACCTTAGGCGGTGAACTCATCAAGAATCCCTGTGCCCATTAACAAACCAGTTCCGGTCAAATGCAGTTCAGCTGCAGTTTCAGTGGGTGTTTCTCCCAGCTGAGCCCGCGTGCCTGGGCGCCCCTGCCCGCTTTGCAGCCCGCTTTGCCCTCCAGGAGTGGGGTTGGCTGCACCAGCCCACGGGCATCACCGTGTGGGGTGATGCGTTGGACCTGACGGTGCGTGCCGGGCGCATGAGCCAGGGTGGAAGTCATGTGAACAAGCACCAGGCGGGGAGGAGTTTGGGGAAAACCATGAGGGGGGGAATGCAGTTAGGAGTGGATTGAGTGTCAGTGGGCATGGAACGAGATGAAAGAGGGAGACCGACCCCCTTTCGACCCCCTAGAAGAAGGAACTTAGACTTTCAAGGGCAATTGTTGGGGGTCTCACACACAATGGGTGTGCTGGGTTCAGGGCTCCCCAGCTCGAAGAACTGCTCAGAGGGATGGAGGTTTTGCTTTGACCACTGATTCGCGGCTCGCCGCCTGTGGCAGGGGATGGCGGCTCACCGCGGGTCGTTCGCCGGCAGGTCGTTGCAAGCCGAGAATGGTCGTCTCAACAAGTGAACCATCTACTGTAATAGGTCGTTTGATGTTGAACCCAACAACCAGACCTCCATTCTTGCAGTTAGCTAAGAAGTATGGTAGTCTATGGTAGTCTATGGTAGTCTATCCCGGAATTGCTGTTGGAAAACCACGGATCTGTGGTGCCTTCATTGGGTACCATCCTGACAGAATCTGGAGCTGCACAGAGGTGTCCTTCACCGCAGTTCGTGAGCCACCTGACCCCGGGACGTCCGGCCGACCCCGGGAGGGCGGAGCTAGCTGGAGATGGGGATGGTCAATGGACCAACCTGGTACTGAGTGTAGGGGTGAAGAAGACCCAAGCTACCTGGCAAGAGTGGAAGAGGGGGTTTGGACCATGAGGCCTGATATCACTGATCTCCATGGTTTCTCGCTACCTGTGCTTCAGGTGGTCTTCCACTACACCAACTTCCTGGCGTTTAAGAACATCACCAACGAGGCTCCAACGATTGATGGTTGGACTCCTTGACTTCCACGTCATGGACTTGCCGAACGAGAGGACGTGAGGCAGACGTGATCCCTTTTCAAAGCAAATACACCGAACGGGAGTCTCACCCAAATGCAAGATGGACTTGGTCATGCTTTCAAGTATTCCCCTTTCCATCTGCCTGTGCATCACTAAGCATTTTTGGATACATGGGAAAGTAGGTTTGCATGAGATCTTGAGATCTTGAGGAGGGCAAAGGCTAACAAAAGCTGCTACTGCTACCTTTGTTCTCTGACACAGATTGTTCTCAATTAGAGTTTAACCATCAGCACACAGCCGCACCCCTTTCTCTCTTTACGCAACATCGCAATGTAACTCGAGTGTTGAGGTGATGGAGTTGCGATGAATATGATGAATTCCAATGACTTGGGACTAAGCGCCAGTCAGGTCTTTGGTGGTCTTAGCGGTAGAACAGACTGACCGCCCTGTATTTGGCTGTTCTACTCCTAAAACCGTCAAGGACCACTGACCCACCGCACCACGATCTCCGAGGCCAAGGAGGATATCGAGCTCTGGGCCTCCTTGGAGATCGAGGGCCCCACGGCGAATGCCTGGTCACTGGGCCACACGCCGCCGGCTCCGCTCCGGGTCGGCCTCCGCTCCGGAGCGGTTCGCGGTGGCTGAAACAGTTGGGGGTGGCTTTGAGTGCCATCCAGTGGATGTGACAGGGGGGCAGTTTCGTTTTTAGTGCTGGAAGCGGTTGACCGCTTCTATCGGAGTTCCACTCCTGGGTGAGATCGGCAGGTCACCATCCATTCCGCGAGAGACACACTCCGGGCGGCCGGAGGTGACCTGCCGCGGGAGGGGTGAGAGGCGACAGTACCAAGGTCTTGAGAGTCGAAGATCAACAAACACCAAGAATCTACAGTAGCTGGTGGTTAGGAGGGAGCTGATAGGAGGAGGTTATCCATATTCCCCTTTGAACAAGGGGGAGCCATTGCTAAGCTGCTAGGTGAATGGTCTTGTTCTTCAGTCCTCCATTGGGTTCACATGTGCCAGGTCTAACAACAAACTTGGTTTTCACTGGGTGCCGTCATGACTCACAGACAGTGACACGTCATACGACCGAATCGACCGAGCTTTTCGACAGCAACAGTGCGTGTCCTCTTAGCGAGTTGTTTTTGGGCGGATCGCGATAGGAGCAAGAAGGGAGACTGGCCTGGCAACGAAATCAAGACTTGCTTATCTTGACCCAAAAACTCCAGATACCAAACTGCCTATTTGGTATCTGACCAGGTACCTATCTCGACCCCATACCTATCTTGCCTATCTGACCATGAGGCTTCGTATTTTTGACCCAACTGCAGCCTCCCCACATGGATTGGATGCTTGCTGCATCCCATGTGCAAAGAACCAGCGTTTTGTGTCGGTCTAAACGCTCGAAGGTATGGGCGAGGGCTCTACACGGTCCCCTTACCGCCGGATGCCTGGGGTGATATCAATGCCCTCTTGGACCGGGGGCGACGGCGGCGGTTGACCGGGCGACGCGAAGCGGAGAACGGGACACGCGGCGAAACGAGGCTAAGCTGCCAAACGGGACTCTGTGGACGGACGAGGACGGTGTTTTATGCAGACGGTTCCAGGCTAAGTATCCAACAAACACATCAAACCTCCTGCAAAAGAGGAGGTGTGTTCAAGTTCTGGATGTCTTTCTGAACGACCCTACCTTTTTTCTCGGTCCGTTGTTAGGATGGTTTTGGATCGCCTACTAGATGCCGAACGTTAAGACCGTCTGAGTCTGTCGGATGATGCGGAGGACAACAACTACCGGAACATGATGCGGAGGGACCTCCAAAACCGAGGGGAGGACTATGTGCAGAAGACCTACCCGGCGCGCGCGAAGTTCTGCATTCCCATTCTCGTGGATCCACAGGATGTGCCTGGGCTCAAGGGAGGTTGAAAGGGACCCACTCGGGAGTTGGTAGTATCAGGGTGATGTTTGGTAGGGTTTCAAAGCAAGTGTACATCAGAAACAATGGTGTGCCATGAACTACTCGATCACCCTTTCTAATTTCATATTATCCTCGATCAAAGAACCATTCAATCTTGCAAGTTACGTATCCAAACTTCAATATTCCAACAATCAGCAACAATACACATGATTAGATATATAATATACATTAAGATAGTATAGAATCCATAATTCATCTGTTCACTCTTCCAATATACCGAACAGCAACGGACAGGCTCAGGCTTAGTATACGTACTCTGCCGGCCAGCCTGTTTGCCTCACAACAGGCCTACGACGTGTCGGTGCGACCGACGCCGGAGATGGTGGAGCGCGGCGTGCCGCCGGGCTACAATCTGAAAATGATGCCCTTGATCCCTGGCAGAGTCGAAGTCGTCTTCTGAGTCGTCTTCTTTTCTTTCTTTGGTCGTGGATGGAGAACATTGTGCTTTCTTTCTTCTGTGCCTTTTGAACGTTGAAAGACATTCCTCGCTTTTTCGGATTTCAGAGGCCTCCGCCCCCTAAAGCTCGGCCCCCACAGCTTGGTGGACATCGGAACCGTCTCGGTCGCTGTGAAGGGATCCGCGGCGCGACCGAGGAGTGAACCGGGGATGCGGCCGCGCATGTGTATCACCGTGAGAATCGAGGACGACGCTTGGGATCACTGGGAGATGAGGTGTGTCTCACAGGTTTGAGGTCCAAATGCCTTTAGATCCAGCTCTAATAATACATATATATATATATATATCGCTAAACGAAAGGATTTTGCCAGGCTGCGCAAGGCCGCAAGTGGTGTAGTGGCAGAGGGGTAACGTGCACACATGCTGTCAGGTGGACCCTTTTTCCCGTGCTTGATGGTGGAAAGGATACATTGTGGATCCGTTTTTAGATGATGCAAGAACCATTGTTTGTTGAAACATACAACTGCTCAAGAAACATCTCACTATATTGTGAAATGGAACAGGTTGACTTGGTAGGATCCTCACTCCATGCGGTTGCCCCTTCAATCCGTCCAGCAGGTTTGACTGTCACACAGGCATGAACGACCGCCTGTGGCTCAAGATGCAGGCTCAAAAGGACGCGCAGCTTTTGAGACCTTTTCACGTGTGGGTGTCACGACTTTTCATATTGGCACCGGAGCTTAGCACTCCCCAGGGACCCTTCGGTAGACCCACTGTTTTCCGTTTGGGGGCACCTTCTTTTTTTCGCCTTTGCGTCGGGGCGTGATGGCGGCGCTCGAATGCCTTCGATGGCATCGGTTCCAGGAGGCTGAGAACCTCATGAGTGGGACAGAAGGCAAAGGTGTTCCAAAGTTCGATGGATCACCAGCTGCCTTGCAGGAGTACGCCTTTAGAGTTCGCCTTCGAGCTGCTCGCGACGCGGCTTTGGACCCGGCAGAGCTCAAGAAGCAAGGACCGTTGGGATTGCGCCTAGTTGATGGCTTGACAGGTGCAGCCATCCAAGTGGTCCGAGAGATCGAGCTCACGAAGTTGGCTGGTGAAAATGGTCATGAAGTTTTGCTTCAACACCTCTACCAGGCCTTTCGACCACGACGACAACAAGAAGCTCGTGAACTCTATGCCGCAGGAGCTCAAGTCCATGGCCCCTTGAGCAGGCAATACGGAGAGCCGATGACCTCCTATCTCCTCAGGAGGCGGACCTGGTACAAGATGCTTTGTGATCTTGATGACAAGCTCGCCTTGCCAGAGGCCATCCTCTCGGAGCAGGTCCTGATGTCGGCTGGCATCTCAGCGGATCACCAGCTGCTGATCCGCACGGCTCTTGGAGGCGACATGACGGTTGTCAAGGTATGCAATGAACTCATTGCTCAACATCCTCACGTTCATGAAGGAGAAGTTCACCACCGTCATGAGCAAGAGCGCTACTCCAGCAAGTTCGGCCGTGCAAAAGGAAAGTCCTGATCCTACCACACATGGTCGACGCCCTTCCAGCAGCAGAGCTATGTGGCTGAAGAAACTTGGGACGAAGGATCCCAATCCCTTGGTGGCTTCGAAGAGTATGAGCAGCCCTCAGCATCGTTCTACACTGGTACAGCCGAGGACTGGGAGTTTGAACCCACAGCTGAGGAGGCCGACTTCGCCTTTGAGTCCTATGCGGCCCTGGTTGAAGAAGGTTTGGATGAAAGCAACTCAGAAGCTGTGGACTATGCCATCGAGGTGATCCAGCTTGAAGCAGAAGCCATGTTCCTTCACAACAAGGCCCAGAGTCAGGGGCACACAGGCTTCTCCGGTGGCAAGAGCAATCGCCATTGGAACAAGGGCAAGGGCAAGAGCTCCAACAACCCTGAGCGTCGAAGAGCGCTTGAAGAGTTGAAGAAGAAGACCACATGCCGTCGCTGTGGCCAGATGGGTCATTGGAGCACTGACTATGTCTGCCCGAAGCATCCTGGAAGCAAGACCGGCAAGGGTGGCAAGTCACCCACCGCCATGACCGGCACTACGACAGCCACGACAGCTACTGGAGGCAAGAAAGGCTCGAAGGGAGCCAAACCACGTGTCGTGTACTTCACCGTTGCTGAGTATGAGGACCCGGAGATTGACTTGGAGGCCCAGGCTTCTTTCATGGCCGTGAACGAGTTTGGCAGCGTCATCTCTGCACTCAGGTGTTCTTCATGGGGCCTCAACCGAGCTCACAGCGGATCAGATGCTGGACCTCGCAATCCAGCAGGCACGTGTGCAGCAGCAGCAACAGGCCCAACGTTTGACTGACGGCCACAATCAGCCTATCCCAGAAGATGTTGACTGGGAGGTCCAAGAGCTCGCATTGCAAGGCCAGGGAGATGCTGCTTCTGTGGTCAGCACTTCATCATGGTCTATGCCTTCGGTGTCGGGCTTAGCACCCTCAGCGCCGAGTATGTCATCTTTTGTGGGTATGACCGTGCCAGCAAGTATGACCGGATTGCCAAGTATGACTTCCCCTTCAGGCTATGAGTATCATCTTCCTGAAGTTCCTTCACTACCATTTGCAGAGCAACCTGATCCTCAGCCTGGAAGTCAGCAAGCACGGACCACTGCAATGCTGCGAGATGGAGATCCTGACCAGATGAGCAGGTTCACGATGAATCCTCCTGCTCAAGAGACAAGTTTGAAGCAGAGATCTTGCCATCATCCCAATCGCACCAAGGCTGGCTCCAACGCCTATCAGAGCATCATTCGATGCAAGGACTGCGGCTACATCCTCCACCTCGAGAAGAAGAATGCTGCCAAGAGCATGGAAACAAAAGAAGTGACTTCTTGCACTCATGCTCGCAAGAACTACCAAGGCACCACAGCCACGACTTGGCGCTGGCGATGCATGGATTGCGGAGAGACCGCGTCTGGATTCAAGAATCCTGGTGAGACTGGTGCCAAGGCAGCTGACATTGCACCTCTCCGAGTTGGAGCTGTCGCAGATTGGTATTTGGATGATCCACCATCCAAAGTGCTTGAGTTGATGACCTTGACCATCAGCATCCAGAGGCAGACTCACAATGTGGTCACGGGGGACGACTTGGACGTGATCTACCGTCGCTGCAAAGACATGATCTATGGAGCACCAACAGTCCCGAAGACTTCAACGGCAGCGGCATCACCTCATGTTCTGTCCATGCCACCGAGGCCTATGTCAGCTCAGGAGTTCCACACTCCGAACACCAGAGGATCTGCCAGTTCGGCACCTTCGACACCGGGTGATCCGACTTTGGGACCACGTGATGTTTTGGTCCAAGATATCGAAGCATGGGATGCTGAGAAAATGACGACTGGTCAGCACAAAGGCAAGACCTTCCGCATGATCGCTGAGACGGAACACTCCTATGGCACTTACCTGCTTGGTCAAGTCAAAGCCAACAAGATCAAGAACCCGCAACTCCTTGAGTATGTCAGGTACATCAAGGTGAGAGGTCAAGCGGCCATGATGGCACTCCATGGCCATGCCTCAGGAGAAGACAAGCTCCTCTGCATCCTTGACACTGGATGCAATAGCACCTGCCACGGCGCTGGATGGATCAAGGACTACATGCGGCTGACTGGACAGCACTTTGAGCTGTTGCCTCATGAAGGTCGAGTCCGTGGAGTTGGAGGCAATGTGCAAGTGGTTGGACTTCGTCGCATTCCAGTTCTCTTTGCACTCAAGAACGGAGACATTGCTTCTGGCACCATCACATCCACTGAGCTTTCTGGAAGTGAAGCACCTCTTTTGCTCAGCACCCGAGCTCAGAAGGCACTTGGCTTGGTGATTGACACCGAGGAGCACACCGTTTACAGCAAGCGCATGAATCAGTACCTGGAGTTGGTTGACCGCGATGGCCTTCCTGCGATTCGTCTCATCCCCTCCACAGAAGATGAGACAGACATTGCACTCCAGGCAGAGATTTCCTCAGCCCAAGAAGAAGACAGTGTGGACATGAGCTCAAACGCCACTGACGCTACTTCGCCTAGCAGTACCTCATCATTGTCGAGCCCTATGACGTCCAACTGCACTTCGTCTCAGAAGAGCACTTCGATGGACACCTCAAGCCAGGAAAGCCGACTTGACAAGTCAGCGATTGAAGAGGAAGACACGCTGAGCTATGTCAACCTGGCAGAGTCTCCTCGAAAAGTCATGACTCGAGGACAGCGAAAGATGATGACTGAATCCACAGAAGCTGTGCACAAGGAAGACCTTGCACTGTGGGGCACGCTTCGTCATCATCAAGGTCTACGACGACCTGGGAGACTCTTACCATCTGGATGTCGATGCTTCCTGATGGAGCTGTTTGCTGGAGCGGCCATTTTGACCACCATGGCTGCAGCTTGGGGCCTTCCCGTTGGACGACCCATTGATGTCTGCTATGACCCTGGTCATGATTTGCTGAAGCCCTCCAATCGTCAGGTGATTGGCGACTACATCGACTACATGGATCCCTTCATCCTGATCGCAGGGCCAAAGTGTGGACCTTGGTCACCCTGGCAGAACATCAATGCCAGCAAGAGTCAGGAGCTCGAGAACTATGTGATGGAAGAGCGACAGAGATGGTATCCAGTGTTCAGATGGCTCATTGACATCTTCAAGTCTCGCTTGAGAAAAGGGAGGCACGTGATTATGGAACATCCCTGGACCAGTGCAGCTTGGGGCATCAAGTGTCTCGAAGATTTTTTGGCTTCGAATCCTTTCCATGAGGAGACCAACGAGCCCGTTGAGGTAGTGAAGATAGATCAATGTCAGTATGGACTTCGTGATGTTCAGAATGGACTACCTCACAAGAAGAGCACTGGGCTGATGCTTTCATCGCACTTCATGAAGAAGAGGCTCAACAAGCAATGCGATGGATCTCACGAGCATCAGCAGTTGGAAGGCAGCAATCGCACACGCCTCGCACAACAATGGCCAGAAGAGCTTTGTCATGCCATTTTGTCCGGCGCCTATGAAGAGTTGCTCTATGGAACACTTCATCAAGCCTTTCCTGTGGAGGAGGTCTTTGAAAGGCATGAAGAGATGGGCGGCATGGACGGCATTCATTCAGAACAAGACCTGGCACCTTTGGTCAAGAAACGCCGAATCGATGAACCCGAACTTCAACGTGAAGAAATGCTTTTGGAGCAATCAGCGCATGAGACCAAAGAGGACCGCCTGGTGATGGAACAAGAAGAGAAGAGGCGGCGAGGCTGGCTCACCCTTCCAAGAGAAAAGCGGTTAGCTGTTCGACGTCTTCACACCATGACTGGTCACTGCTCAAATGCTGCTTTGATGAGAATGCTGGTGGCATCTACAGCAGACAAGGATGTCATCGATGCAGTGAAGTTCTTTCAATGTCAGGTGTGCAAGGAGACGGAGAAAGATCAGCATCCGCGTGTGACAAAGGAGACAAGGCCATCTTCGCAGATGCACTTCAACTATGAGCTTTCGGCGGATGTCTTTGAGATCCATGACAGTGAGCATCACCGCCACTCCATCCTGTCATTGGTGGACTTGGCCACACACTTCCATGTGGCAGTTCGTGTTGCAGGAGGAGGAACACCCAGCTCGAAAGCATGTGCCGATGCCTTGAACGTCTCCTGGATTGCATGGGCTGGAGCACCCACCTTCTTTGTGGCAGATCAAGGAGTCCACAACAGAGGAAAAGTGGCACATCTCCTTACCGTGATGGGCACTACCATCCGGCAGACTGGAGCTCGAGCACCTCATCAACTTGGAGTTGGAGAACGTCATGGAGGATTGCTCAAGGAGATTATGAAACGTGCCATCCATGAAAGACAGATCAAAGGAGCTGAAGACATTGCAGCTCTGTGCTCAGAATCGGCAAGAGTGAAGAATCTCTTCATCAACCAGCACGGCTACTCACCGTCTCAATGGGTGATGGGCTATCAACCTCAGGACATCACTTCCCTGAACAACAACGACTTGGAGCAGAGTCTTGGCCTACACCAGAGCTTGCTGGATGCCGAAGAGGGAGCACAAGATTCCTTTGCAAAGCAACTGCTGATTCGTCAATGGGCAAAGGAAGCTTTCATCAAGCTTGACACCTCTCAACGAGTGCGCAAAGCCATGCTCCGGAAGAGCATTCCTATGAGGGGCCCATACCGCTGTGGAGATTTGGTTTCTTTCAGCAAGAAAGGCAAATGGTATAGACCTGCCAGAGTTCTCGCTCATGAAGGAAAATCCTCACTCTGGCTGTTGCACTCAGGAGTCGCCATTTTGGTGGCAGAGACCTCATGCAGGCCGGCAACTACAGCAGAAGTCTTGAAGCGACATGCTCTTGAACTGCGGCCTGAGAGGAAAAGGAAGAGACAGATCCTCACCGACTGGCAAGAAGATGATGAACTACCTTTTGCGGACGACTACATCGAGGACAACAACTTCCGCGGAGGCCCAGGAGGATCGAGTGAGCAAGTCCCATTCGTGGACTTCCAAGAGGTGAATGCAGGACAAGGCGAGACGGGAGTGACTGCTATCCCCGGAGATGCTGAAATGAATGAAGGAACAACTTCATCGACGTTTCCATCGTTGCCTCAACATGTTGAACAACCTCACCAAGCACCTCTCCAGAGTCCACCTGGACTCGAGATGGCAACTTCTATGGAAGATGGTGTTGAGACACCAGTTGAAACAATGACTAGGGTTTCAACAATGAGCAGTCAACCGGAAGCAGAGATTACTCCGGCACCAAGCATCTCTACTCATCCAACATCAGGTGCAGCACCTTCCAACATCATCAACGAGCAGGTGACGCCTTTGACACAGTCCCTGCGACAAAGCCCTGATCGTTTGGATGGAATTTTCCGTCGACGTGAGCCTTCAGTCTCCGACAGCTTTCTTGCCAACAAGACCGAGCGCAAGTACAAGAAGAAGACACAAAAGGTCGGAGCAGGCCGTGAGCTGAACTTTTCCAAGGAGACTCCCGAGATGCAGAAGAAGCTTTTGGCCACTCGGGAGAAAGAATGGCACAACTGGAAGTTTTACAGCGATGGCAAGCTGGTCCCAGAAGAGGAAGTGGTGCACATGATCGCTCAGAACCCGGAGTTGAAGATCATTCCAACTCGATGGGTGGACGTCAACAAGAGCGAGATTGGAGAAGAAGAAAAGCTGAAGTCAAGACTGGTGGTGCGAGGTGATCTGGAAGACAGCAGCTTGATGCGCTGCGACTCGCCCACGTGCAGCCAGACCATGATCTCACTGGTGCTCACCTTGGCAGCTTGTCGAGACACGACCTTGTGGTCTGGTGACATCTCCGCTGCCTTTCTGCAGGGCAGCAAGTTGGATCGTGTTTTGATTTTGAGTCTTCCCAAAGATGGAGTTCCAGGAGTTGCACCCAACATGTACTACATCGTTTCCTCCACCGTCTATGGCACGAAGGATGCACCTCGTGGTTGGTGGAAGAACCTGGACAGCACTTTGAAGAAGAAAGGATTTCATCCAGTTCCCTATGAGCCAGGAGCCTACACTTTGTTGGATGGGCATTCTGGACTGGCAGGTCTGTTGGTCACTCACGTTGACGACCTGCTATGGACTGGAGGACAGGTCATTGAAGATCTGATGAAAGATGTGTGCAGCCACTACAACTTCGGCAAGGTTGAGAAAGATGAGTTTCGCTACTGCGGTCGCAACATCTGCAGGACTGCTGAGCACATCCAAGTCAAGTGCGACAACTTGATCGACCGTGTGCGGCCAATTTGGCTGACCCATGAGCAGAAGCGTCATGAAGCTCAACCAGTACCTGAAGCAGTTCGAGGGCAGCTCAGGAGCATCATCGGCAGCTTGGCATGGTTGGCTCGTGTTTGCAGGCCAGATTTGGCCTATGCAGTGTGCCGCATGCAGATGAGCGTGCACTCGGCCACCTTTGGTGATGTGAAGTATGCCAACTCCATTGTGGCATTGGCCCAGAGGACCAAGAGCTTTGGCCTGAACTATCCCATCAAGGCCTTTGAGTTTGAGAAGGCGATGATCTTGGCAATTCAAGATGCCAGTCACGCAGCTGACTTTGAAGCTAGCTCGTCAGGAGCAAAGATGGGACACAGAAGTCAAAGCGGCCGACTCCTTTGCCTCGCGAGCCCGGACTTCCACAAGTCCAAGAAAGGACAGCTGGCGCTGATCGAGTGGCACTCAACGGTGCTGAAGAGGGTTTGCAGGTCGACACTGCAAGCTGAAGCTTTAAGCCTCCTAGCTGGAAGCGAAGAAGCCGACCACTTGAGGTTCGTGCTATATGGTCTTCTACACCCTCATTGCACTGTCCCTCGATGGCAAGTTCGTGCGATGGACTCAGTGCTGGTGGAGTGGGTGACGGACTGCAGGTCGCTCCACGACCATGGAAACCAGACTGGCCTCCACATTGTCAGCGACAAGAGATTGGCCATCGACATGTGCGGCTTGCGCCAAAGCCTTTGGAGGCTTCCGGAAGAGGAAGTTGGAGATCCTTTGGTGACTGACCGGCTTCCAGAGGCCGGAACGACGAAGCTCACCTGGACTTCGACCGACAAGATGCTCGCGGACCCTTTGACAAAAGGGATGAAGCACGACGGCCTAAAGAGGCTGATGGATGGCTTTGAAGTCGACATGTCACCGACTCTGGATGGATTGAGGGCCAAGAAAGAATATGGGTGTGAAATGGAACAGGTTGACTTGGTAGGATCCTCACTCCATGCGGTTGCCCCTTCAATCCGTCCAGCAGGTTTGACTGTCACACAGGCATGAACGACCGCCTGTGGCTCAAGATGCAGGCTCAAAAGGACGCGCAGCTTTTGAGACCTTTTCACGTGTGGGTGTCACGACTTTTCATAATATGTTACTCAAATCATTTGTAAAGACACATAAGAACTATATAGTCATCAATGGTAAAGGATGCTGCATCCTTGAGAAGCTTGGGTTACTTCACAAAAGTCTGCAGAAGTAAAAACTTGAAAGTGGACCTTGATTGATGCATGCAAATTTGTTTGGGTCGTGTTTTGAGGCGCTCCAAAGATTATGTAGACATCCAAGACAATCGGAGAAGGTTGACATGTTTGGCATTCCTTACCGCCAGTGACATCTCCGAATCATTTTCTGCACCAGATATTTTGCTGTTTGCACAGGGCCTTTTTCTGAACCTTGATCAGAAGCCATCTCTGTTCCACTCGATCGGCGGCTGAGGAGAAGAAGAATGTTTGCAATCCGAAAGCCAAGCTTTTGGATGTTGTCAAGACGCGAGCAGATGCACTGGCACAACATGGACAGCTTGACTGCACATAGAATATTGTTCTCTTTTTTGGGAGCGGGAGTTCAAAGCACTTCTTTTCCTTCGACATGTGTTTTTTGACATGTTCAATTTTGCAGATTTTACAGGAGGCACCCTTGTTGCAAGGGAAGTTTGCGGATTGAATCACTTGTTTTGCTTGTCCTTGCTTGGATACCTGAAAAGGCCCAATTCGTGGAACAAACAAGCTTCGGACCACATCAACAAGTTTCTCCCCGGTTCCCGCTCTCGGAAGATCCTACGAACACCCAGTTTTCCTTTGTCTACAACCACTGGAAACCGTTCGAGTTATCAACGACAAAACGTCAAATCATGCCCAGAAAACCAAGTGACAAAGCTCCATCTGAGGTCCCAACCGGGCATCACTGGAGGCGCTGATGCGCTTGGCCATGGTGGAAAGTAGCCGTGGTCTTTATCAGGAGGCCACCAAGCACTTCGACACCCGGCCACACCAAGCCGCTGTCCGTGCCGCACAGCGTTTGAACGTTCTGAAATGCGGATCTCCTGGACGAGCAGTTTCTCTGGGGGCCAGAGGTGGAGCACTCGATGCAAAGCGGTTTCCTAGGTTGATGCTCTTGTGGGAACGGTTTTGAGCCAAAAACAGGTTTTCGTCGTGAAGGTTGGACGCGCCCCATAAACATGACCATTTCTTGCTTCTGCGGAGCTGATGTTCACAAGTTTGAAGGCCACCCTGAAATCACACATCACCCCCCGGTATGAAGAGGTATTTAACATGGCTCTTTCCGAGACTTGGTTTGGCTCCGGCGTATGGTTTTCATCCACCAAACACCGGAGCACGGAGTTTACTTTACCATCCAAATGGGAGGGTTGTTGATCAAGAGTCTACATCACCAATGGAAACTCCAGTCAGACTCACTGTCAGAGTCCTGCTGAGCTTGCAAGCTACTCTCGGTCTTCGGTTGAACCTGGCGCCCAGACTTTTGAACACGCCTTGGTAATGAGCCTTCAAAAAGCCAAAGGTCAGCTCTTGATGAATAACCCCTCCAGACATGGATTGTAAAACCTCTTCAGGCCTGGGGGGATTGAAATAGGACTCAACGAACCCCTGTGAGCCTAGTGACTCCTCGACCCCCCGGGACCCCGCTCGATCCGATCGTATTAAGGGAATCGTTGATTGCATTTGCTGGCGGGGCGGTTGGAGTTGTCAGGATGCTTGCATGGCGCTGAAACCCAAAGCCCAAAGCCCAAAAAACCTGGTAGAAGGGACAGTAGAGCAACATTTTGTTGCGGGAGCGCTCGTTGTTAAACAATGACACTCTGACTACCGACATCGAAGTGGTTTCCATCCCCTCTTTGTCAAAGAACCCAGGTACCTCCCAAGGGCCAGAACTTCCACTTCGACGTGTTCGACCGAGTGTTGATTCTTTTTCCTTGATTTCAGAAAAACACGGGAGCCCGATACACTTGTTCCGAACACAGCACTGGTCTGTGGTGAAATCCTCACAGACCCACTTGGTGAGAATTTCAAAAGTCACAAAACCATACAAAACCACTGTAGACGGTTGCTTAATAACTCCCGACCCCCCCATATGGAGAGCATCTTAAATCTGAGGGGGTTTATAAGCCAACAGTCCACATATAATGGAAGGGGCTCCTGCCACTTCCATTCTCTTTTTGGAGGGGCCTCATCCCAAAATGTCCAATCCTTTGTTTCTCCATCTCTTCGCTTCCCTTCACCTTCTGCTTGCTAGTCCACCACGCCCATGTTTACCACGGGCACGACCTGCTCCAGGAACAGGTGGTTCGCTCCATGGAGTCCTTCTTCGGGGTGAACCATCGCTTGACCTTGCGCGCCATGGCCGGCCTGGCCGATGCCCTGGCACAGCAGGGGGATTTCCATCGGGCGGAGGCGCGCGCGACCGGGGCAGGCGACTCCATGAGGCTGGTTCCATCAAGTATCGGACAGAAGACCTATGTAGGTGGTTTCAGAGGTTCCCAACTGTGGTGGTTTTCTTATGGACCCCAACTGTGGTGGTTTATACAGACCCCGACCCATTAAAAAAACACACACACACACACATCGTTGGGTACCAGTGCCATTGAACCTCTGAAACCATTGTGGACCTAGGAGGTCAGTGTGGACCTAGGAGGTCAGTAGATTCTCTTTTTAACACCTTTTTTGGAGGGCGGTTTCAGCTGAAAACGCGACGCGACGCGACTCGGATGATGGTGTGACTCCTCGGCTTTTCTGTGAAGCCGCGAAGCCTCGAGGAGTCTCGGGGTCTTGGGGTTGAAGAAAAGGGGCGGTCGGCTTGGCGAACGCATGGGACGGTTCGTGAATCCAGTGGATGGGTGGATGGACCATGACTGGAACAGTCCGGACACATCCAGTGTGAAAGCAACCAGGTTGTCTCGGACATTTGCCTTCTCAGAATCTTTAGACAAACTTTTGGGACTCTGCTCTGCACAAGGAGATGGGCTACACATTTTCCTGCGCAATGTCCCCATGGTTGATGTGGTATACCGGGATTATCAGAAGCCTTTGTCTCGTTGAAGACGATAGATCTATGTCGATCCCCACAAACAAGGTGGACCAAGGGGTGCATGACAGTCCGCTTCCCTTGAGTGAATTCGGAGGCGTATATGTCAATGGTGCTGAGCAAGAACATTGATCAGCCACTAGGACTGAAAGAAAGCTCCTTTTGTGCATGGTTCCGACCGTGCACTGAAAGAGTTCCGGCTGTCCCACGGTCTGGAGGGACCCGTTGAAAGAAATGATCAAAACGGCCACCTCATCCAATTGTTGCTCGGGGTGCTTCTGCTTTCCCATTTCTTTTGGAGTCAAACATGGAGGCGTGAGGCATCGAGAAATGGGAGCGGCACCGAATCTGATCTCAAGGCCTCTCTGGGCATCGTCCTTCCCCCAAGATCTACGATCTGATCTTGTCTGAAGCATCACATTCGAGGTTCGGGGAGGAGGATGGAGACGCGACGAAGGCACTCAACAGCTTGGGCAACATTTTTCGCTTGCAGCACAAGCGCGTGGAGGCACAAGAGTTTCTGCGGCAAGCCTTCCGGACGCCTGGTGGAGTTGGACGGAATTGGGGGTTGGGAGAGAGATGGACACTCGATACAGGAAACCTTATGGCAAACACAGTTTTTGAATGTTTTTCTTCAGAGATGCAGAGCGTTGCTGCTATCAGTGCTCCTCAAAAAGTCTTCACCATTTTTGTGTCTCACTAGAGCAGAGAGTGTCCAGCAACGGGTTCCAAAGGCCAAGCAAGAAGCCGACTTGAAGTCCTCCATCCGTCAGTGGATCCAACTCCTGGCTCTCTTGTTGGTCGGGACCTCACATCTTCCAAAGCCTAAGGCCTAAGGCTTCAGGCGGCCGAAAGAAGCACCTTTTGTGTTTCATTCAGGAGCCCCGTTCGTAGCTTCTTGTTCCTAGTAGTAAGGCCAGGAGCCCCGTTCGTAGCGTCCTTGCTCCTAGTAGCGATGCCAGAAGCCCCTAGTAACGTCCTTGTTTCATCCCCCCAAAAACAAACCGGTCCAATTTGCAGAAGCCACCAACACCTGTGCGATCGAATGGTGTGGACAATTCACCCCATGATCCTCATGACTTTCCAGAGGTTGAAGGACCTGCCTGTTTGACTATCCTGGTTGGGTACCCCAGGTGACGGGTCCGAGAAAATGGTCACTTGACCTCTCTTTGTGAGAAATCGCTTGGCCACCTGGGTGTACTCTCAGGAAGCTCCAACGGCGCTATGGGGTGGATCACCCGAAGACCCTGGCGGCCCTGTTGCCAGACCATGTGGGGTCACAGCTCACAGGAACATCTGAGACCCTGGTTGTCAAAAGCATTTAATCCGGGAAGTGTTTTCGGACATGGAACCTGATGGCATGGACCTTTGAAAGACTGGACCTTGGACTCGAAAAAAGCCCCCACCGTGGTCTTCAGACCGGAACCACCCGTGGGTCTCGGAACCCGGGCTGTTTGAACTCGAAGCGGTCACCAACCGGTCGCCAGTGGAGACTTCAGGTTGGCAACAAGGCGATGACTTGAAGTTGTCACGCATTTACTCTTATCCAAGTTGGCAACTCTTATAACCCTTTGCCACCCTTTTGCCGCAGGGTTGAAGAACACAGTCGAAACAGCCCGAACGCAGGAATGTTCGGAACAATGACACCAATCCTTGAGTATAGGGACGTTGAACAAGAGCTTTTTCGGTAAAGACATGTGTCAAAAGAATAGCCTTCCTAAATAAACGGCTGGGAGAACCTGAGGCCCTTGATGTCCCAATGGGAGATGTGAAAGGCCTAGGGGAAGGATTAGTACTGGCAGCCACGACCCAATGTGAGTTGCTGTATTAGGAACTGGAAGGACAATTCCTGGTGGATGAAAAGAAAACAGGAACAGAGTTGCACTTACCTGGATGGATGCTTCATCGAGATCCTGGGTGGCGCAACTTCACTCACTCGGGGTCTGTGTGCTTGGTGATATTTTAGGGTGTGCAGCGCCTGTCCAGCTGAACTCCAACGCCCTGAGGTGAATGTTCCCGATCCTTCATCCTTTCCTCTCACCACGAAGCCTCGAGGCTTCAACGGGCGATTCGCATGAAGCCTCGGGAGCCCGTTCTGCCTCACCCAGAGACTACCGCTCCCAGAGACGCAGACTGGGGCTGGACTGTTCTTCACGGACGCCTGGACCGAGGTTGGACTTCGCCTCCTTCACCACGCCCGACGAGGCCGAGGCCCTCTACACCGAGGCCTATGGCCGTGGCTCGGGAAAGCGACTTATGACGAGAGAGTTCGTGGTTTGGGTGACCAAGAGAGAGTCAACTTCCGCAGTTGCTGGGAGTTGCCTGCTTTCTGCTCTTAAGAGGATCCTTAGACAAGATTTTTGGAAGGTGGGTATATGGCCTGCAGATCCGGATCCAGGGTGGTTCCATAATTAGGCCATTTGCTGCGCCAAAGGTTTGTGTCAGTGCCTGGTTCTCCTTCAGATTGAAACCATCCACCCTAAGCCGGATGAAACATCAACATGTCTCTTTCGACACCACCAGAACAGCAGAACCCTCGGCCTTGTTTTGGTTGAATCAAGGAATTTGTCATGCTTCTTGTTTCTCACGGCCAGAAAAAACCAAGTCCTTACTCATTCGGGCTAACCCCAAGTGAAGAACCGTCTCCGGTGCCATTCCTCGACTGACCTTGGGACTGGCAGACTGACTTCCCTCCAGACGCGCTGCGCTGACCTCCCTCCTTGCACTGAGGCTTTCAGCAGCAGCTGGGGGATGCGCATCCCGACACCATGAACTGCAAGATGTTACTGGCGCAGACGAAGCTGTCGCTGGGGAACCGCAGCGAGGCCAAGGAAGACTTCGATGATCTCTTCAAGAAGCGCCCAGTTGAGAGCGAAATGGGCTTAGGGAGCGAGTGGGAGCGAGGTACTTCACAGCCACCAGTGCCGCCCCCGGTTCACGGCTGTTGAGGATTTGTACTAGATAGAAGAGGGGAACATCAGACAACAGTGTCAACCGGACCATTGTTGGGTGCCTGTTTATCAGGTTTGCCAGCTACACGAGGTTCTGCCGTTGCTGCCTGTTGCTCTTGCTTCTCGCGGCTACCATCTTCAAACAATTGCCTAAACTTAACCACGTACCGAAGCGCTGATTTCACGTTCCCAACGGAACCGGGGTGGAACGTTCTTTCTCTAGTGAAAGGACCCTGAAGGCTTCTCGTACATCATCATGGTGAACCTCAATCTAGGCCGAACTTCAGCGTTGTGTGGGGGAGTTTGTTTGATGGAATCTGATTACTTGTCAGTGGGTCTTCCCTGTCTTTTCAACATGCATTTGAAGACTAATTTACAGTAGTATATAATGTTTCCTTTAAATACAGTCTTTCACGTTCAGCTTTGGTGTTGCACAACAGCAGGAAAGCATGGAAGGCCTACCGAGGCCTACGGCAACCAGCGGAGACCAAGCAAAGACCCCTGGCGTGAGGTTCACCTACGGACCCGTGAAACAGATCTCTAAGCACCTCACCGGGCATAGGTTCAGCACATCACAGGGCCTCCACTCCCACACCGCTCGGCCTCCACCCCGGTCTACCTCGTTCCCCACCGGATTGAAGCCCCTGGACCGACCACGCGACCCGGACTTGAGGATCAAGAAGCAGCTGGGCGCTTCGCATCCGCATACGCTGGCGGCGCACCGCGGCTGGCTCATCGCTTTGAGCGAAGAGGGCGAGTTGGGCAGCGCCCTCTACCACTTTGGACGTGAGCTGGGTCATGCGCCCCTACCAGGTGGAGTTGGGTGGTGTGTGTCAGGGAGCTTTATAGTCTCATCTAAGGGTTGGGATCAGAGGTAGGACATTTTTTTGCTTTGCCGGCTCGGCCAAGTTGTTCTATGCACAGTAGTATGCTCTGGTAGTAGTAGGCATTTCATTTGTGTCCACTCATATGCAGGCATGCACACCACCACAACTACCTCTCCTACACAAATCTAGTCCAGCACATGCAGGACAACCAGCCTCCAGCTCCAGGGTACGTATTGACGTGCGTCCTCAATATCAGAAGCACGGCGGAATTTCACTGAACATATCATGTGCCGAAGGTTCGGAGACAGTCCACTCAATCTACTCTAAGAATCCGGGCCCTCAAATACATGGGGTTTGGTTCGGGTTCGGACCCCTGCGAAGGTGTCGGGTCCGACCCCTGCCATGGAGGGCCTAAGGATTCTTAGTGCAGAGAATATGCCTTTTCACATTCTCATTTTCGTTCCTTAATCTGCAAATCCGCCCTCGCTGTTTGTCACCAACAGGATGCGCACACACAGACACACCATACACACGGTGTGTGTGTGTGTGTGGCAGTGCTTAGGGTATTCTTTCAAATCTGCAGGACTATGTTGATAGGCACCCCTTTCTGTCCTCTTTCGAATGGCGTGTCTCAGTGAGTGACTCCTCTTTTTTGTTGGTGCGTCACTGAGTGACTCGACCTGATGGTCTTCATCTATCGACCGAACGTTCGGTGCGACCGACCAAATAAGGGCCACATCGACCGAGAAAATACACTTCCCTCGCTCGCGGGTCAGAGGTCCGCGGTCCGGAGGGGTCAGCGGGCGAGTCGGAATGAACTGAAGCCGACTCCTGGGATGGAGGGAGTTGCAGGCAGTCTCTTGCTCCTGGAGATCTTCTTCCACTTCAGCTTGAGGAAAGGCACCTGGACGCAAGAACTAGCTAGTGAAGATTGCCCATCACTTTTTTTCTGGAAGTCTGTTCTGTTCTTTGGCCTGGTTTTCGAACAACGTAGATAGATCATCCTGCTTTGGGGCTCCGGTTGAGGGAATACGTGTTGGGTTTCCAAACAGGCTTGCATTGCGCCGACGTGGTCGCTAGTCAGCTAGACGGCAATGGCATTGATTGACGACATCTCATGGGAGGTAGTGTCAAGTGAAGGAGGGAATCCTTCACAGACTTTGCGATTTCCTGCCGACTTGACACTCACAGGAGGAGAGGAGGGCTCCGACCAATGGCAGGATCAATTTCAGGATATTCCAAACGATTTCGACAATCCTGTGAAGCCTGACAAGTTTTCCAAGGGCACCTATTGGATGGCCAGATGTGGTGAAGAAGTTTTTGGCATGGTGGGTATTCCTCCGTCCTTTGGGTTTTCCAGCTCTCCGGCTTCTGCGTCGAGGGGAAGTCCCAACGGCAAGGCCTTGGACGAATGCTTTCTGTACAAAGTGGACCGAATCCACAAGAGGTTTACTTTGTGGACGCTTCGAGACTACCATGACCATGCCATCAGGTTGTATGAACAGAATGGCTTCTAGCTAGACAAAGAGTTCAAGACCAAGTTTTTCACAGCTTGTAGGTTCGTCCGACCAGCTCACTAGCTAGCAGCTATAGCTCTTGGTTCGACAGCATCGCTGTCCGACACAATAGAGGAGCAGAAGATGCCATTAAAAGTGCCATTGGGTGGGTGGTCATCTCAAAGTAGAAACATTGAGCTACACAGCAACGCTACTAGGGGCTCCTGGCCTTACTACTCGGAGCAAGAAGCTATGTCCGGTAGGCACAGGGCGTATCATTCTCAGAGTCCGTAGACCCCAGAGGGATCCAAGATGTTGTCAGGCTAAGATCCGAAGCTGTGTTTTCTAGGGTGGGACAATTGGAGGTTTCGACGAAAAACCCGCATTCGTTTGAGGGATCCGAACTCTTTGTCGCCAAGGCCTTCTGGGTGTGCTATTGCTCTTTGCCTTGGGCCTCTACCTCTACTCGCCCTTCTTTGTGGCTAGCTTCCTGTGGGACGCACAGCTGGGCGATCCCAGCATCTGGCTCTTGACGGTCTGCACACAGAGCCTTGGGACGTGTTTTCGACGGGACTGTAGACAGAAGACCCAGTGTAGAGAGGGCACACCTTTGACTCCAGTTCCGACAAACACAGCAACTGCCGAAATGAGCCGGAGAATTAGGTTCTTCTCTCTCTCCCCCCCCCCCCCTCTCTCTCTCTCTCTCTCTCACTCACTCACTCTCTCTCTCTCTCTCGCTCTCTCTCTCTCTCTCTCTCGCTCGGGGCTGCAACGTTCGTTTGTCGCAGGCGATGTATGTGCAGTATTTTTGCGTCGCTAGCCACATCTAAGGATCTGGCTCTTTCAAGTGATCCTTCTGCTGCCTCCTGGATCAATGGCAATACTATAGTCAATAGCTGGTTTGGCACCCTCAAACCCATCCATTTCCACCGCGATGTTCCGTCTCCTCTCTGCCAGATTTCAAGCCAGTGAACCCCTTCGCCTTGGGCGCCGACAGCGAACCGCCAGACAGCGAACGGCCCGAGGTGTCAAGTGCTGTCGCCAAACCGCCGAGCTCTGCGGAGCTTCAAGGGGCTGCAGATCAATCTGACACTCTTCTTGTGCAGCCTTTTGCTGGTGATTCGGGTATGGCTTCTGGAGTTCTCATGGCCACTTGTCCGACTTCCGACTTGCCCCTCAAAATTATTGTTCTCTCTTCTCAAGCATGGTTTCCCTGCAAGTTCTTGAACTTTTGTCTCAGTGATGAATCCAATGGACTGCCTCTAAGACCTTTCCAACTTGGCAGGGACCGAGCTGATACCCTAAGTACGTAGATGCGAAAACTTCAGCCGAACGCATATTTACGCATTTTCCTGATACGTGTAGAGGCTTGTTTTTTTAAAGCTGTTGCATGCACACAAGCAGCTGTTGCACGAAACCCGCTCTTTCCACGCACAAACCATGGAGCTCGAGCACCGAGGTTCATCGTGACGGGGCCCTGGTATTTGCTGGAACTCCTTTGGCTTTGCTTCTGGCTCAGTGGTTCTTGTGGTGCTGGTGCCGATAGTGGGCTTCGCCATGGGAGCTCGAACCAGCGGCTTGGCGGGGGTGTGGTGGAGTGGCCATGGTCTGTTTTGGAATTGAAAATGCTTTCTTTCCGACCCTTCCTTTTTCGCCTGCTGGGAGGTTGGGACTTTGGTTGATGTTGGTGCTCTAATTATATGTTCTTTTCCACTATTGTTACTAGTTGCTAGACTGTGAGGATTTTCTGGACCAGCGGGTCACCATACAGGCTGATCCAATGTCCATCTCCCATGTCATAGGTCCCACGACCACCGCAACAACAAGAGTATAAGCATCCCCTCTCTCAGCTATGCCCTATGGAGGGTTCCAGCAAGACGGGACACTTATGAGACAAGGCCACGTGCAGATCTTTGCCCATGTGATTGTCTCTTGAGCATGTTTGCTTCGAAATCATCGGTTTTCCCATCGATGTGGCGAGAGAAAGTTGGTTGGTAAATCTCAGAAAATCCATGCCAAGTCAAACAGCTTTTCCCACTCTCAAAAAAGACTTGAAAGACCTAAACTCAACATCTAAGAACATGATGTCACGTGCGCACACGCGTCGGAAGATGAGGAGATGAGGGCGTTTAGGGTGGGGATAATGGCGTTCGTTTGGAGGTGCTTCAAACATGATGCCACGTGCACATAGAACAGACATGGGGAAATGGGGGTGCCTTTCTTAATGATGTTCGTTTGGAGGTGTTTCTAAAATGAAAGGAGTGACATCTCCAAGTCAGCCAGACCAGATCACGATGAAGCAAGAGGAATCCTTGGCTTTGTTGGAAGCGCTCAAGCTTTCTCCCATGCCTTTTGGCAGGCGGGGGTAGAGCAACCAATGCCTACCCCAAACCATCTCCACTCACTGACCACTGGTGTGGTCAAGGTCCCATCAACTACTTTCAAGAAATTCTTTGAGATGGTGGGGGTGGATGAGGTCTATGTGGGGTGGTATGGCATGAAACAATACCTGTTGCCCACCACCCAAGAAGTGTTGGAGGCCATCAACGACGTACCCAGCCTCCACACTGCCTTGGACCTGTGGATGATGGTGAGAGAAATTGCTGGATAGATGGACCCAACCACATGAAATGGTGGAAGCACGCAGCCAGCAACTAAACCGCCATCTTGTGCTGATTTCGAGCTATGTCCAAACCAGCATGGCTTCTGGTGCCCGAGAGCCCCTCCGACCACAATATCCAGGTCAAGACCCTGTTGGGCTTTCTCTTCCGACGGCCAGCCCCATGAAATCCCATGAATTGTCAGTGCAATGCCTGGATGACTCGGGGTCGGGAGGCAGGCAGCCAGCCAGCCAGGCTGCTCCAAAAATACTTCAGAGGGTTAATGACCAGTGGGCACACGCATCGGCCTTGAAGCCAGACAAAAAATGAGCGAACCAATTCTTAGAAGCACCTTCAAGCCAAGGTCGTTACCCCCCAACCCAACTCCATCTGCCGACGCAAGTGTGCATTTGGCAACATCTAGCATCAGCAAAAAAAATCAAAAAAATGCGTTTACATAACCAAGCAGCAAAACGCAATGACCAAACATCGAACACAGACACGCCCCGCGAACGCCGCGTCCAACCTCGTGTTCGTTTCTGACCCTGGGAACGAGACCAACACACCGTGGTGATCACTCAGGAGTTCCGTTCCATGCGTGGAGCGCTCCTTGGCCTCTTTGGAGCGTCTGGTGCTGCTGCTGCTGGTGGCGCTCCGCGCTGACCTTGCAGCAGATCCGGAGATCGGGCGCATCCCCTGGCGAGCCCGGCTGCAACAGGGTGGGAGGAAGTGTTCCGTGGCGCCGGTGCAGAAAAGAGAGAGTTCTTGTAAAAAGGGATCGGTTTGGAGAGGTGAACTCTCCAACTGCATCATTGCTTTGATTTTGAAGTCAAAGGAAGCTGGGGCTCCATCATATTGTACAGCTGAACTTTACGGACAATGGTCACTTTCCAAGATAAAGCACATACTCATACGCTTGTTGAGCTGCCAGGGCAAAGAACCAGGTTCTTTTGACTGTCACTATTACACAAACTGACCGTGGGGCAATGCCCACCCTGACTTGGCCAGGGCCGGACGTTTCTTTTTTCCAGAAAACCGTCCTTTGAAATTTCACACGTCCTTCCCGAGGGTCGGACATGTCCTGACATGGAACCGTGCATTTTGACGTTCTCTCTCACACATGCGATTTTCTTCGCCAAAGCCACATCCTCCGAATCCTGGTCCGAAGGTTTTCGCGGAGTGTTTCTTCCAAACAAATAATTCTTGAGAAACGCGAGACTTGCACCCCATGACCTTTGGACGGTTGTGCTCACGACATGTGTTTCATGTTGTTCACCTGGCCGAAAGGCCTTGAGCTGTTTGGCGCGAGAAAAGCGCGGAGGTTGGCAGGAAACCTCACGGCCCCGCTTCGTTCGGTCGTGACATCCCCCAGCCTTCCATAGTGGTTGCGCGGAGCTGGACGAGCTTGCGGACCTTTGTGGTTGAGCCCTGACCGGGCCTTGGACCTTTTTCCCTGCGGTGACCTTCGGCTTTTTTTTGCCTCCTTCCTCTTCAAGCAGACGCTTGAGGGTCGCCTCGGAAAGGTCAGTTCGGCCCCGACATCGAGCAGAGGACATCTTCTTCTCCTACGACCTGAAGGTCGAGCTCTTTGCATGATGGTGGAGGAGAAGGATAAGAGCTATGGGTATGCCAGTGGATGGTCGGAGTCCGGCTTCGATGCCAGCATCCCAGTCTGGGATGGAAGGCCGGACAGCTTGAGAGAGTTTCGCAGGACTGTCACATGGTGGCTCTCAAGCATCGACCTCACGAAGACGAAGTTCTTCAACTTGGCAGCACGCTTCGCAATGAAGCAGCGTGGATCGGCCCGTCTTCGTGCCCAGGAGTTCTCTCCAGAGGATTTGGCATACCTTCCTGAAGAGAGCGTTGATGACCCCGACAAAGAGGGCGAGAAGATCATCATCCAGGCGGCTGACTACACGGTGGGTGTGTGGAAGCTGATTGATGCCTGGGAGCAAATGGTGGGCAGAACAGTGAGCGATAAGAAAGGAGAGCTTCGAGAACGATTCTACATGACATTGAGGCGCTCTCCAACTGAAGCTGTGATGACCTTCAGCTTGAGGTATCGCACGCTGGTTGCCGAGATGAGGGCTGAAGGCATCACTTTGGATGATGCTGAATCAGCCTGGTTCTACAAGCAAAAGCTCGTCCTCAATGAGGTCCAGAAGCAATTGTTGGAGACCACGCTGAGCTCCACCGATGAGACGTATGCTGACTGCGAACGTGAAGCAGTCAGGCTGTTCAAGAGGATCCACATGATTGGTGGCCATGCTCAGCCCTCCAACCAAGGTTCCATAGCTTCTCTGCGAAAGGCACCTTTTCGACCACCTGGCTCAGGCAAGGGTGGCTGGCGCCGACCTATGTCCTCTTCATCGACGACCGTGTCGGCTTCCTCATCGTTTTCCCGAGGTTCCTCCTCCCGAATGGGACTGGGTGCCTCAGCGGTGAACGTGACTGAAGCTCAAGACCCCGACTATGAGGACCAAGATGGTGAGTTTGAGGCCATGGAGGCCATGGGAGAAGAGGACATGCAAGCAGAGATGCCTGAAGGCGACGCTTTGCAAGGACTTCAAGATGAAGTTGAAGTGTTGGCTTCAGAGTTGGAAGCGACCGCGAAGGAAGGCTGCGATTCTCAGGAGCTTGACGCTCTTGAGGAACAGTTGGAAGGTGCAGTTGAGGCTCTCGTCACACTTCGAGAAGCCCGAACACAGATCGCAGCAATGCGAAAAGATCGGGGCTTTCGTGGACCAGCCCCTGGATCTCAAGATCCGAAGAAAGCAGCTAAGCAAGGCACATGCCATGTTTGTGGCCGAGAAGGCCATTGGAAAGGAGACCCAGAATGCCCTGGACCTGGCCATAGTGGCACCAGCAACAGCAAGGGCAAAGGTGGCAAAAAGGGTCGATTGCAGTCAGCTTTGAAGGGCAGCACCGGCAAACGTCCTTCGGAGTCCCATGTTTCGGAAGCCAACATCGTTGACCTGTTGCCCCCAGTTCCTGAGGTGACCTTTGATGATGGACCCCCTGAAGTACATGAGGTGTTTTTGAGTGAGCATCAACTTCATGAGCATGAAGTTTGCGGGATTGAACGGCTGTCTGAGGTCCTTCAATCCCTCAACTCGAACAACAACCCCCAGATCTCCCACGACAAGTTGCTGCAGGCAGCCCTGGACAGCGCTTGCAACCGCTCGTGTGCTGGTGTTGCATGGATCAAACATACAGAAGAAGCACTACAACGGGCACCCTCCTATGTCCAAAGCTTGATCCGTCGCACTCCAGAACAGGAACGGTTCCGGTTCGGGAACGGTGGAGTGCTCACCAGCCGGGAGAGAGTTCGACTTCCGATGCTGCTCGCAAACCGCATCGTCTTGATTTGGGTTTCTTCGGTGCCAAGTAGCAGTTTGGGTCTACTGGTGGGTAAGGACTTTTTGGACTCCCTCGGTGCCGTCATCGACTTTTTGCACAACCGGGTCAAATTTCAGTTGCTTGCAGATGATCATTGGGTTCGTCTTCATAAGTTGAAAGCTGGTCATTTTGCCGTGCCTTGTTTACCAACCCCTTTGCATCAGTGGCCTGAGTTGAGTTCTTTGCCCTGGATCCCCATCGGAAGAGATGCATGTTGTGAGATTCAAATTGCTAGCAAAGAACAATGGATTTTGAAGCGTCTTCACAAGTCAGTTTCAACTCCAGCCTCTGAAGTGAATGTCACTGAGCACTTTGTTCCTGCAGTGTTTTTGGAGCAAGAAGCAGCCGAAGATCTTCATCCTTGGCATGGAGCACGGTGCGCCGGTATGCTGCTGGCAGCCGAAGGATCGAGCTCCAGTGCGCTGGGGCCGGATGTTGGTGAGGCTGCTGGCGAGGAATCGCTGGCATTGGCAGGGCATTTTGCTCTGGATGATCCAGCGCCCATACCTGAGAGGACTTCCACCTCCGCTTCCATCAGTCTCGACTCCGACCGAGTGGGAGCATCAGACGGCCGAAATGTGCAAAAGGCGATCGTGGCCGAGAAAGTGGGCTCATTCCCTTATGAGACAGGGAGAGAAGTTTACGTTGTTTCATTTGAAGGATTCGATGCACCTGCGAGACAGGATGGGCCTCGAGTTGAGCTTCATGGAGGACGACGCCATCCTCTTCGGCATCCAGGCATTGAAGAAGAAGCCAAGACGCAAGATGCAAGAGGCACTGGTGATGGAAACTCAGCGACTCCTCCAGCTCAACGACGCCGATCGCACGATGCAGCTTCGTTCATTGCTTGGGCCCAGAGGAGGATTGCCCAGGCTCAAGGACGAACTTGTCAAGACGGCCACGCTCCTGAACACCAAGGTGGAGCCCAACGAGACAGTGGAGCAGCTTCGCAGGAGACTTCAGCCGATCGTCAAAGACCTCATGGCAAAGCCGGAATGGGTGGCACCTCCCATAAGTCCACCGGAATCAGTGCTGAAGTCCAAGGCGAAAGCCAAGCCGAAGCCATCTTCAGTCCCTCTGCCAGCGAGAATGACACCAGCCTCGGTGTTCGATCTCCCTACAGCCGATCGCCTGATCGATCACATGACTCAGGATCATTTAGCTGGTCTATCTTGGGGAGAACCTCGCATGCCTCGAGAAGCCTGGGATGCCAACTCAGCTCCCCAGAGCCCTGTGTCAGAGATCGAGTTCCATCAGTGGCAGGCCGACGAGGAGATCGCAGACGGGCCATGGATGTTGGAAAAGGCGTCGGTGGTGAGCATGGCTTCGGGCTCGGAGCTGTGAAGAAGTCCATTGGCAAGATCTCAAAAGTGAGCCTGCAAGAGCTCAAAACTGGTTTGCGACAGGCAGTTCACCAAGGCTTCAAGAGACTTCGAAGACTCCATGAGATCCGCAGCATTGACTATAACGAAGTCCATGACTACCTCGAAGCCTCTGAATATGACCTCAAGATGGCCATCGTTGAGGGTGAAAGAGATTGCTTCCTTGGAGAGACACTCCTGCCTGCGCTACCAGAATTTGGTTCTGAAGGCCAAGTACTACAAGCTGCGCTCCAGTATGCCAAGAAAGGTCCTTTTCTTGGCGAGACCTTCACTGACACCGAACAGGTGCGGCAGCAAGCTGAGAAGCGAGGCCATTCGACGATGAAGAGTATGACCTTGGCAACGGGCTATGACTTCATGAAGGACTCATCACAGCGGCAAGCGCTGGAAGAACTGGATGAGGAGGCACCATATGCCCAGATCATCGCCTTCCCCTGTGGTCCATGGAGTCCGCTTCAAGCACTTCGTGCAAAAGATCGCCACAGAGCACTCCTGTTGAGGTGGCGAAGAAGGAAGCACAAGAAGCTCGTGGACTTTGCAGTCAAGATGGCTCGTCGACAAATGGCCCGTGGTGGTCACTTCATCTTGGAGAACCCCTCTCGTAGCCTGGCTTGGAAAATGATTCCTTCGTTGAAGAAGCTCTTGGATGAGCCTGGCTTGTTTTTGTGCGAGCTGGATCAGTGCTCATTTGGTCTTCGAGGCCCTGGAGGAGGACTTCACAGGAAGAGGACTTGGGTGCTGACTTCATCGGAGGAGGTTGCAAAGGAGCTCTCCGGTCATCTTTGCAGTGGTGGCCATGAGCATGAGCATGTGATTGGAGGTAATGTGGCTCGTTTTGCTGGACACTACTCTCCGGACCTGGCTTGCGCCTTTGTCCGTGGCCTGGAGAAACAGTTCGTGCGAGAAGGGAACTCAGAGTTTGAAGTGATGATGGGTGAAGGAGAAGCTGGCGATGAAGCAGAGCCTGAAGGACAGCTCAATCCCTATGAGGATGATTTTGACATGGAGGATGACCTGGATGTGGACCAAGCTTTGGAGCCTACCCGAGCTCAACGACAAGCAGTGCTCAGGCTTCATCAAAACACAGGTCATCGAGCTCCTCTTCGGTTGGCCAAAGCCTTAGCTGTCTCTGGCGCTGCTCCTGAAGTGATCAAGGCGGCCAAAGAGCTTCGTTGTGAGGTTTGTCAAGAGACCCAGAGGCCTACTTCACATCGGCCATCTTCCTTGCCAAAGCCCCGACACTTTGGAGATCAAGTACATGTTGATTTGGTGGCCATCAAAGACATCCACCAACAGACTGTGTGGGTCATGCATGGCATTGATGCAGCCAGCGGCTACCAGATCGCCCAGACAATGGAGAACAAGAGCTCAGATGAAGTGGTGCACTTCTTCAACACGCACTGGATTCCTGTGCTTGGTGCTCCAAAGCTCGTGGTCAGCGATTGTGGCCCAGAGTTCACTTCAGACAAAATGCAAAGCTGCATGGCTTTCCATGACATCGTGTTGTACCACACGCCCGTGGAAGCACCTTGGGCCAACGGCCTGGCAGAAAGAGCCGGAGGTTCATTGAAGGTGATCCTTGGAAAGCTCATCAAGGACTACTCTTGTCAGGGACGCCGTGAAGTACAAGAAGCCCTTGCAGCAGCTGTTGATGCATGCAATCAAGACATCGGCTCAGCTGGTTACTCTCCAGCCCAGTTCGTTCTTGGCAAACAGCCGAGAGTTGCTGAGGAGGTGATCCCCAATGACCTTCGTTTGCGCCTCTCCACTCATTCGCTGCTGGAGAACAGTCCATCTTTGGCTCGTCAAGCGGCCATGAAAGAAGCAGCTCGAGTGGCACTTGTGAGAATGAAGTACTCACAGGCTTTGAGGAGGGCAGAGTTTTCGAGGGCAAGGCGGGCAACTTCCTGGCAGGCCTACAAGCTTGGTGATGTTGTCTACTTCTATAGGCAGCAGAAGGTGGCTCCTGGAGGTGGAACAAGAGGAACCAAGCGCAAGCGCCTCATCCTCAACCAGTGGCATGGTCCGGCAATGGTCACTGCCATTGAAGGCGGTCGAACTCCAACTGTGGCCTACCTGGCCTACCGTGGCAACTTGACCAAATGTGCCATGGAGCATATCCGACCGGCTTCCACCTTGGAGCGACTGGCAATGAGTGAATGGGAAGAACTTCTTGCTGATGTGATCAACGCCTCAGCTGGCCCTGATGATGAGGTTCAGCCTGATGGCCCTTCAGAAGAGGATGATGGAGATGGTGGAGCACCTGGTGATGAACAACAGCCTGATGAAGCAGGCCGTCCTAGTGATGATCAAGCTGGCTTGATGCAGCCGACAGTTCAAACCAGTTCTCGCTCTGGCACTCCAGCGGTGACTTTTCCATATCCTTTTCAAGCTCAAGATCTGATTCCAGCATTGCAGTCAGCAGCAGCGAGCTCAGCACCTCAGAGCTTAGCGAACTCATTGACTACCTCAAGGCGCTCTTCATTGAGCTCAGCTTTGCCTCTTGGATCGATGTCTCGACAGACTTCTGTGGCGAAGCCAGGTGGTGGTGATGAGGAAAAGCTGGAGGCAGTGGCGGAGGAACCGGCAGAAGCTGAGCAGGCTCTTCCTTCACAGCCTGACCTGACTGCAACAGCTCCAGTGACAGGATCGACTGACCCTTCGAGCAGTCCACCTGATCCTCTTGGAGGTGCGGTGGGACCCCTCCCGTCGACGGCTTGGCCTCCGGTTGAGGTGGGCCCAACCCCTCCGGTCGGGTTTCATCCGAGACTCGAACGCGCTCAGGGCTCAGTTCGACGTGCACTTTCAGAAGGTGCAGCTGAAGAGAGGGATCCGAAGAGAAGGAGCATGGTGCCTTTGCAATTGGGTGGTCGCAGCATTGACGTGCTGCTAGTTGAGCAGGACACAGTGATTCACCCACTTCTGCGAGCAGCTCTTCAAGCCCAGGAGGACATCAAGAACAACTACCTCATGGAGGAAGACCATGGCACCTGGGATGGTCGGTGGCCTCTTCCATCAAGAGGAGACTGGGAGACCTATGAGGTCGCGAACTGGAGTTGGCCTTCTGGAGGAGCTGACATGCAGGAAGTTCTGGAGGCACAGACTGGAGGAGGAAACCACAAGGAGCTGCGATGGTCGACCATGGATGAGGAGACAAGAGCTCACTTCCGCACCGCAGCTGAGGAGCAGTGGTCCAAGTGGGTTGAGAATGGCGCCATTGAGGTCCTTGATTTGGTTCAAAGCCGCCAGATTCGACAGGAGCTTGAGAGAAAGGGTGAACTTGACCGCATCCTGCAGCCCAGATTCGTCCTCACCGACAAGAACAGTGGCTTGCGCACACCACAGTGCCCTCTTCCACTGAAGGCTTCAGCAAGGATTGTGGTTCCAGGTTATCGTGACTTGGCAAACTTGCGCAATGAGCTGCGCAGAGATGCTCCAACTGGTTCAAGAATCGCACAGCACACCTTGTTTTGCATTGCGGCTGAGCACCCAGACTGGTTTCTTCGATCAGCAGATGTGCGAGCAGCCTTTCTCAAGGGTGATCCATATGTGAGGAGAGTTCTTTACATCACCTCCACGAATGCTTCAAGAGGCCCTTCGATTCCAATTCCTCATGGCGGCCTTGCAAGAGTCCTCAAGGGAGTTTTTGGCTTGGCAGATGCGCCAAGGGAATGGTGGCTCCGTCTCTCTCGAGAGCTGAAGCAGGAAGGTTGGACAATCTCCCAGCTGGATCAGGCCCTTTGGTTTCTTTGGGAGCATGGCAAGGAGGAGAAGAAGCTGTGTGGAGCCATTGTTGGGCATGTTGATGATTTGTTGTTCACAGGCAACCAGAGAGCCTTGGACTCGCTTCTTCGACTGGGCGAAAAGCTTGGCTATGGGTCCATTGAAGCTGATGACTTCCATTGGTGCGGCAAGAGAATTCGCCGTGACAGGGACACCAAGGAGATCATCATCAGCATGACCACCTACCACCAGCAGCTGAAACCGCTGGTCATTCCACGACAGAAGCGGCTAGCTCTGGATGCACCATTGAGCCCAGCTGATGTGAAGAGGCTGAGAGGCATCCTGGGGTCGCTGCAATGGGTTGTCGCTCAGGTCAGACTTGACCTTGCTTTTTTGGTCAGCAGCCTACAGAGTGCACCTCACACCATGAGCGCATTGTTGCAAGCTAACAAGGCCCTGCTTGAGGCGAAGAAGCATGGAGATTTTTCGTTGAAGTTCAAGCGGATTCCTTTGGCTACCGCTGGTGTTTTGATGGTTTGTGATGCAGCATTGGGCAATGTTGATAGCAGTGGTTCAGTGGCTGATGCTCCAGAAAGCCGCGTTCACAGCCAAAGCTGCTATGCCATTTTGCTGGCAGACCCTGCACTCTCCGAGGGCAAGCGTGGGATGTTCAATGTGGTGGACTTCAGAAGCCATCGATTGGCTCGGGTTTGCCGGAGCTCCTATGCCTCGGAAACGGTTGGCGCTGAGGAAGGCATGGATGCTGCTGAATTGGTGAGAGGCTTCATTGCAGAAGCTCGTGGAGTCCCACTACATCCACATGGCTACTGGCAGATCACCCGAGTTCCTCTGATGGGTGTCACTGATGCGAAAGATTGCTTCGATCGCATCACTTCCGACACAGGATTTGGAAGCCAGAAGTCTTTGATGTTTTCAGTAGCTGGCTTGCGACAGCAATTGCGCCGTCCTCAGACGAGCTTTCGATGGACAGCCACGTCCAACATGTTCGTCGACGCTGGAACGAAAGCCATGGATGGCCAACACCTTCGTGAAGCCCTTCTTCGAGGTGAATGGAGCGTGGAGTTCCAGCCGGACTTTGTGAAGCAGACGGCAAAGCGAAAGAAGGCATGCGAGAAAGGTTTGGCAGATGGCACGATCCTGCCTGGACGCGAGGCCAACAGCGGAGACTTCCAACTGATGCAGCATGTGCATCACCTGTCCTTGGCTGCCGGATGGCACTTTGTGGACGGGATTGGCATCTTGGTCGCCCACCAGGCCAAGAGCTTGAGAGGACCCACTCCGAGGTTCGCTCTGAGGGATCATCCGCTCCGGACGACAGTGGCCGAATTTAGAGTTCGAGATCAGTCAACATGGCAGATCTTGGAAGAGCGCGTCGATTTGATGGACAAGGCTGTTCACCAAGAACTTTTGCCTGTCCCAGCCAAGACGCTGGTCACTTTCTTTGAGCCACGTCCAAAGGCCACAGAAAATAGGATGAATGAGAAACGCGAGACTTGCACCCCATGACCTTTGGACGGTTGTGCTCACGACATGTGTTTCATGTTGTTCACCTGGCCGAAAGGCCTTGAGCTGTTTGGCGCGAGAAAAGCGCGGAGGTTGGCAGGAAACCTCACGGCCCCGCTTCGTTCGGTCGTGACATCCCCCAGCCTTCCATAATTCTAGTGTTTCATGAGGTCATCACCGTTCCATTCGAGACCCGATTGGTTATATAGTTGCACATGGGTACTCACTAACTTTGGTGCAGGTGGTTGAACGTCATGACACTTCATAGACTCAGATGGAACCTCAGATGAGATCTGAATGCGCCCAGGTATCTCATTTGCATCATCCTTTTCTTCACCTCGTTGACTCGGAGGCTTTTGCGGAGCTGCTGTCGTCGATCTCATGGTCGTTCTATCAGCTGTTCGCAGGTCTTCGGCGGCGTGTCACGGGTGGGTTTGGTCTGGACGACGGACCGGGCGTGAGGGGTCACTGGTTGCTTGCGACAAAGACGCCCTTTTTCGGTACTTTATGTACTTAGAGGGCGCCCCATGGACTCTTGGAACAACATCATCATGTCAGGTGTTCCAAATGCCACCGCATTGATACGATCCTTGCTTTCGTGGTATCAAGGTCCCTTCAGGAATCATTTGGTTCTTTTCTAGAAAGAGGCCACTCAGGAGTTCAAGCAAGACGTGTCTGAGAACGAACTGTTTTCTTGACCTGTCAGAGTTCCTTTTTGGCACTACGGGGCCCGAACGAGCCTCGTTGAATTCCTTATGATCCCGTTGAGGTTGTTGAGGCTTTGTTTGGGTGATGGATGGTCCAGGATGGTCCGAAAACCCAACAGAACAGCGGCCAGGTCTTTCGCACCTGACGCCAGGTCTTTCGCTCGAGTATCTTCAGCTGCATCGTGACGATCAGTCGGATGGAGGTCCTGAAGCTGCAGCTGGCAGGTGGCTTCGGCACCCTGCTGGTACTGTGCATCTTGGCTGGCGGCACCTACAAGCTCTATCGGCCACAAGCTCTATCGGCACCTGGGCGGAGGTGTGGGGAGTGGGGCGTGTCTCTCGGGCCGGGCGGACGGTGTTGGGAGTGCCGGGTCCGATAGCCAGGAGTTTTCCTGAAGGAGTGAGGTCAAGGAAGAAACACAGGACCCAGGAGTTCCATTGTCGGATGAGTGGATGTGACAGGGGCACCAAGGCACCCCTTTCCTGTGGAACTGCTGGTTTCTTCTGTTGGACAGCATCGAAAAGTGATGAGAGATGGTCTCCTTCTGCGATATTGAACTTGGAGGGGGCGACGAACATCGCCGCAGTCCGGACGCACCACAGACCAAAGAGACCAAAAGGATACCGAAAGACCCGAAAGCGAAAAGAAGCTACCTACTCAGACAGATAGAAACTGGATAGACATGCATAGGACTCCATACAGCGAATCCCCCGAAATAGAGATGGACTTTCCCACTTCGGTGGGCTTCATGCTGGTGAGTGGCATCTTTGCACCGAGGCCCACTGGGTCTCCTTGCCACTGCTGATCCTTGCCTTGTCTCCAGCCTTCTCGCTGTGCATCATCCGAGTGCTGTCCTCCCGACGACGCGCTGTACACGTCCAACGGTCGACGACGCCCTTCACGTGAAAACGGGTGGCGTCCGCGTCAACTCCCAGTGGACCGGTCCACTCGGGGTGTTTGGAAGATCGACTCAGGGTGATCCAAAAGGGGAAGCGGGCTGTTACCCTGGGAAGGTAGATCGGACCCCCCGTTGGCCGCGTCCTGGACGACCAGGATCGAGTGGTGTCGAGTACTCAACCGGGTCCCACCCACTTAGGTTGAGGAAGGTTGATGCACTTTTTTTCAACGAGCCATGTTGCCGACGTTCATCCTGATCGCTGACGATTCCTTTCAGAACTGCCACCTCTGTTCAATGTCGCCACCGAGAACCGAGAAACGGGTGATGTGGTCCGCCGTTGGATGGGGTTCATCTCAAGGCTCCTCAGGTAGTTCGTCCTCCAGGTACATCCTCCTCCCCGCAGGACCGGGCGCCCACGTGCCCACGCCGCGGACCAGGCGCCCCCATCCGAACATGGACAGCGGAACATGGGAACCCACCGGTGGAATGGTGGAACCACCTCGGTGGAACGCCGGAGTTCCACCGATGGAGGCGCCACCGATGTGGTTCGTCAGAGGTCTCAGCTTTTTGAAAGAACGAATGGTCTCAGCTCAGCTTGGAAGCATGAGTCTCAATTGGGTGGTTGGATACTTGTATGGTTTGATATGGTTGGATAGTTGGTGTCTTAATTCTAGAATCTAGTTCAACCGTCGTCTTTCTGGAACTCAACCGCTGCCTAAGTCGACGCGTGCCACACTGCAGAAGGCAGTTGATCTAAGCCAGAATTGAGTCCTCGACTGGCTTTATGAAGTTGTCGTGTGCCATTGACTGATGGGCTGATGGCCTACGTCTACCTGCAGATTAGCCGATTAGCCTTCCTTACTCAGTCTCGCGCAGATTCACCCATTCTGATCGGATCAACACGACAAATACACTCCGACGCACACGTGGAAATGGAGAGCCCCCTTTTCGTAAAGGAAAGTCAGTGGTCTTGCAAGGGGTCATTTTCCACTTCTATGTTGATGAGTCAGAGTGAACTCACTTGATTTGGGTCTGAAGTGTAGAAGCGGCTGAATGCATCACGCGTGTGGCCACCAGTGGCTCTTTTTGTGAAGACTCCCCACCACTCCTTGTCTGGCACTGCCGCTTCGAGAAGCCGTTTTCAGCACCAACCCGCGCCCTGCGAAACCGCGGGGCCGGCGCGACCCGTTGGACGCGGCGACCAGCGGAGATGTGGACGACCGTGGGGTTTACCGTGGCTGGATGGAGACAGCAGCGGGAATGATGATGTAGACTCTTGATGATATGGTTTTACAATCTCAATGGGGGGTTGAGATATGATCAAGAGTCTACATCAGTGCTAAAGCACTTTTGCATCATGAGGGTAGATGGTGATCATCATCAAAGGCTCAGAAAAGACCCCTCAGTAGTTTGAGGGTTTAGGGTTGTCTTGGAATCATCCAACGTTTCATGACCTTGTGGCACAACCCAAAGATTTGAGCATCTCTATTGCACACCTACTAGAACAGTCAATACTGAAATGAATTGGTCACTTCTGAATCCGTCCGTCGGACCCGCCTATCTTACAGAGACACCTTTTTTTCGCCGTTCACCTGGATTCTTTCCGGCTTCTTCACACCCCAATCCTTCGGCCTCCTTCGGCATGTCGGGTGGTGCGGAGGACTGCACCTCTCCGGTGGCCGGCCACTCGCGCCGAACCTCTCAGGTGGTCTCGGGGTTGCTGGCAGCCTTGGTGTCGGTCTTGGTGCAGCGCGGCTGGCAGGCGCAGAGGGGCGGAAAGAGGAGCGGCTGGCCGTGCGAAACGTCTGACGATTCTGGGCCACGTCCCTCGAGACGTGGCACCAGAGACGCAGGTCACCCCAGGTGCGGGTCACGTGCCCCACTGCGAACTGCTCCTCTCCTTCTCCTCCCGCCCTCCCGCCGTGCACCAACCAACCAGCAACCAACCACCAACCACCAACCAACAACCACCAACCAACCACCACCAGCAACCAACCACCACCCACCAATTGTCCGCTCCTGTGTCTGGTGAAGTTGTTAACATGTGGGGTTATCCGGTCCTATATTTTCTTGTTTTTTTTGCTGCGCAAAGACAGGTTTTCTAGTTCAGTAGCGGTGAACCTAAAGGCTTGCAAGCACCTGGTTTTGAGGAAGTGTTCAGCTTTCCCACTACTTGGGGGTTGTATGATGTATGCTTCCCTCACATGGAAACCATGGAACATCTTGGTTTGTCTTCACAGATCCTCCTTGCTCTAGGCGTAGTGCCGGGTCCCCACCGGGTCCTTTTGGTCCTTTTGGGATCAAGTCGGTAAGGAGTCGGAAGACGGCCACAGGCTGGATTCTTTTGTCGAGGGATAGAGAAGTTCAATCAGTTTTGAAGGAACCAGGGATGTTTCAAAAACAAGGGACGCCTCAACCAATCAACACAACTTTGCTCAGTTCCGTTCTCTCTTCGGATGTGCGTTCGCCTCGCGCAGGGCAAAGATCTGATACCACACCGCTTGGAAGAGCCCCATGCGTTGCCGAAGGATTTCCACAGCGGTGCCAGGCGCTTCCGTGCGGGACCGTCGTGGTGTTGCAGTGGTGTTGACACTGAGACTACCTTCCAGTTGCCTGGTGCCAGGAAACAGCAATCAATCTAAGCAGAGTGAAACTGGGCCCACTTTGAAACAGCATGCCGGCATCCTGAAATGAGACCAGGTTGATGAACATTGCCACAAAGCTGCCAGGATATTAGTTGCAAAACAGCTTGCAGAATGGAGGCCTGCTCGCATCTTCTTTCGTTTTCTTGAAGCAATTGTCAACATCGTTTGCGTCTTCGGTACTACGGTGGTGTTGCCTTACCTTTGGATGCCAGTTGCTCGGCTTGGTGGAAAGGCTTCTTGTGGATTTGCCCCATCCTTGGACCCCGAAACAACCAGAAATAACATGAAATATAATGAAATAACAATTGGGATGTTCCAATTCTTTTTTCAGTTGAGATCCTTTACAAAGCAAGTGGCTGGGACTGTGGAAACATCCATTCATTTCTGGTTGATTGGGGTTGTTTTGCTCCTTTGGTCGGGTTCTTTTCTTCGTTCCACGTCCAAGACCGAGGTCAGTTGGGTTTCGTCGGGTCTCAACGGAGGGTAACAGGTTCGTGGAGCTTTGCGGTTCCGCACTGTAAAGCAAACCCCAGTTGCCCGTTGGTGGTGGAAAGTATCAAGTTGAGCACTGCAGGTCGTCTTCATGGTGATTGTATTTCCAGCTTGGTTCTTCGAGTGGACCTTTTGCCAACTTTGGGAACAGCCCTCACTGGCCTTTGCCCTACGCAGCCGCCGCCCGACCTTAGCCTTGGCTCGTACAGTCTTCTTGGCTGGTTTGGTGATTGTAGTCCACTACGACGTCTTTGGTCTAGGTGTTTTGCAGAATCCGGAGCGGCGCATCCACATCGGAAGTGTGAACGTAGTAGATCCATGGCCCTTTGGCTTCTTGTACGCCGAGTATGTCATGAATGAAGACATGGCCCAGGCGCGTGGTTTGTTCATGCTTGTTGGAGAAAACGATAGTACATCGGATTGTTGTGCATCCAACCATTCGAGTCGAGGTGCATTTCTGGTATTCGTGCTTACGCTTGGGGTGCCTCTTGCTGTACATCCTCGTGCTGACTGTCATGGTTTTCTTCGTCTGCTGCGATGCTCTTGCATTCCGGGTCGGTCTGAAGGAAAAGAAGGTGGGGTTTCATAGCAACGTCTCGGAATGGTTTACACCCGGGAAGATTAACATGGAACCTGAAGATGGACCTTTGGAAGACCATTTTCCGAATACCAACCCCGTTGTTTTAAGGTTCCATGTGGGTCTCTTCCAGGGTGTATCTTGAGGGACCACCTTGTCACTTTGTTGACATTGCGAATAGGAGAGGAAGAACTTTTGTCTGCGCACATGCTGGCAAAGCGTTCTAATCAAAACAAGTTTGGACGTGTTTGGGTTTAAGAGCCAGACACACCAAGATTCTTGTTTGGGTCTAGATATGATGGATCTCCATGGCACTAGCAACTGGCCACTTAGGCCATCGCCTCGATTTGGTTCGATGAGCACTGAAGGTCATTTCGCCCTAGGTTGTTTGTTCAATTTCAGGCTTATCTTGGGAACTGACACGATCCCCTCACATTCACATTCTGGTGGGTTGGAACACGCGGACGCGCAAGTTCCAGCGAAACGATAACACATGTTGGAATATCAGCGCCGGTTGGGGAATCAGTCGAATCCGAGACCTGAGACCTGGACTCAGAGACGTGACCATATACCAGCAGAGGTTGAAGAACTTAAACTAGACTATCCTATAGGTACCCTTGTAGGGTCCTAGTTCAGGTCACTTAACCTCTGTAGGTATCAGGGGAAGTAAACTACTTTTGAGATTGCCAGGACGCGGAAACTGTTTTTCTGGGGGAAGAAGCCGCGAAAGTTGGTCGGATCTTGATCAGACACTCAGACCGTGCGAACGGTGGGTCTGGCGTATCCGCTTTGGCACTGGGCCACAAACGGTGATGCTTGCGGTTTCGATGAGTGGCAATTTTTTCGCAGGGCCTGCTGAGTTCAGGACAGGAGAGATACAGGAGAGTCCCTCGGTACGGCTGCACGGAACCCAGGCATTGCTCGAAACCGCAAGCACCACCGTTTGTGGCGCAGGGCCGTAACATATGCTTGGGCCCCATCTCTGTGTACGAAGCTCACGACTCATCAAACCAGATTGGCCATCCCCAAAAAGTGGGCCAATTTACTGGGTCACTAGTGAGGCCGTAGCCAAACAAAGCTGGGAGCCTGATGAAGATGACGCATGAGGCAAAAGCAAACACATTACGGTTACCGTAAACTTCCCTCCCAAAGTGATTGAGAGTCCGTTTGTGGTATCCGGCTGTCAGGATGAAGCCAGAAAGGCTGAACGTGTAATAGAGCAGAAAGGAGACGCAATGCAAGAGCAAGCTTGGATGGTGAAACGGCTGCGTATGGGAATTGACAATGAGGGAGTGCGGCGTGAGAATGCTTGCTGGATCTATTTGGATGCTTTCTTGGTCATTACTGACATGTTCTCCGACATGGTGACAATATATCAATTGCTTACGTTTCACAGGTTCGTGTTGGCCTTTTTCATGGTCTGCATTTTTAGCCGCAGCCTACTCCTTCAAGTCTTTTCAGGGGCGCCCTTCACCTTCTTTGCTGACGTGAGGGCGAGTGCTGAGAAAGGGATTCGCCATCAACATTTCTTGGATATCTTGCAGGAGGAAAGGGGCTTTGAGGCAGCGTGCAGCTTGATGCTCACGTCCTATTCCTTTTCGGTGTGTGTGTGAAGAGTTCATGGTCAGCCTTGACACAGAGTTTCAGCATTTTGCTCTCAGCCTATGGTTTGGCCAACTTCATCTACGTGCAGCTTGACCTCAATTTGGTGGACGAGGAGGAGATGCGAAAGCCGGTATGGCCGAAAACGTCGTGGAAGAGGTGGTGCACTACACCATGGCAGGTTGCAATGGCCCCGAATGTGGCTCGGTGGTCACTCCAACGTGCACGAGCAGAGTCGCCAACGGCCGGACCCGCATGCGCCCATGTGTCGTGCAGGGCCTACACATTTGTTTTTAGCGGTTGTTTCTGTCCGATTTGTTATGTTGGAGGACATTTGAGGGCATCGTTTCACTTGGCTGCACCTTTTAAATCCCATCCAGAGCAAACTCGTGAGATCTTGTAATTACAGGGTTTTGGGCCCGTTTTGGGTTGGAAGATCTCAAGGCCCACAAAAGCGTATGTGCAACCGCACCGTTGTTTCGGGGTGTCCTCTACTCTGATGCTGTTTGGTCTTTCCTTGTTGCTTTTGCGCGCGATGAGGTTGTAAGTAGAGCAAGCTTCTTGGCAGCTGCCTGAGCAGGCCGTTTGCGGACTTGTGTGGCAAAGCTTCACCAGTGAGTCCTGAATACTTCATGACATGGGTTCGCATGGGGCACGAAGGATTTGTCCATCTCCCTGAGGGACGGAGACAAAACAAGAGCCGTCACCCATCGTTCCTGACTTGACGGGCAGGGGGTCTCTGGGTGTTGTTCAACAGTCTGGTGGTTGAAATAACATATAACACAATTACTATGTAAACATTTGTAAACTATAAAAGACAAGTGACCCCAGGACAGGCAAAGGAATTGATACATAATTGTGTATACATATAATATATATATATATTATATATTTGAGACATCAGCGCTCTGAGTGTATGCCTTTTATAGTGTTTCCGCAGATGCCTTTTTTGTATTCTTATTCTTGGTATTGAGGATGTCAAATTCAAGCACAAACTCCAACAGTACACGAACGAAACACCAAACATACCAACAATACCAAAAATACAGATTATATACAGAAAAACCTTGGCTGGCGTCAGGACCGGCACACCAACAAGTACCAATACGCGCAAAAAACATCTTGTACCCAATGGATACAAAACAAATCAAAATACAAATCCGGTATAGAAACAATTGGCCCCCTCTCTGCCAACAATATTTTCCACTGATCTTTCGTATTTTTAGCATTGCTTGGTATGCCCTCCTGCTCCTGCCCCAACGCATTTATCCCAGATCTTTTGTACTTGTTTGTATTTTGATATTTTTGTATTTTTGGTATGCCGTCCTAACCCAAGAGTGGAGGCAAGTTTCCTTTACAAGATGTTTTGTTTTGTTGTTGTTGGACGGTTTTCAAATAGAATTTCTTTCACATGGTGTTTGTGCAGGTTGAGAGAGTTCTCCTTCGGAACCTTCATACTCCATTGCAGATAGTGTGTTCCAATTCTCTTGCAAGACTATGTATGTACACCCCGCTCAACAGAATCATCCCATTACGATCTATTGCAAAAGCATCATGATTGAGCATAACAATTGACATGGCCCACCAGTCCTCTTTGGGAGTGCCTTCCATCGGAAAGTCTCTTAAGGGTTTCATCATTCTTGAAACTGCCCTTCCTTTCCCAGATCCTTTACCTTGCAAGGTATATGCTTCTTGAGTCTTCTCCTTACCTCCTTGCAAGCTTCCTCCTTTCAATCGCTGAAAATGGAGAGGATTGAACACACGTTGTTCCCTTTACACAAATTTGATCCTGAAGCCAGCCTACTCCTTATGACCCCAGCATACAGTATTCTTTATCAATCATTCCTCCTTCAATACAACAACAGCTTTTCTGCCCGCGTGCGTTCAACATGTCCTTTAGGTTGTCTCCTTAAAGTATCTTTGCTCCAAAGTTTCAAAGCCTTCTTATTTTGGAATGCTAGGGGCGCGTTCAAACGGTTTAAACAATCTCTTTTGAATCGGTTTGTCACTCATAGAACTGTCTCCCTTAACAGTAGAAAGGCATTTTTGCAAAAACCATTCATTGTGAGCGTCTCCTGTGTGTGGAGGCCTTTTTTAAAAAGGTCCTCCTCCTTTACACGACTCCTGATCTTTCCAACAGCGTTTAATACAGTATATATATATATGTATTCAAACCGATTTCCCGTTCAAGACCTTCGCATTGGCCTGTCATTGCAAGAAGCCAATTTGCTCATTCTTTAACTACTATATATCTCCTTAAAATGCTACTTTGTCTCGAGTTTCCTTGCTGTCCTGGCACATCCACTGTGAGTTACACATGCAACATTTGGGTGATGTCACCAAGTCAATCGCACGAAGCAACAAAAGGTAGTCCTTCTTTCTTTTTGGGTACCTTATGTGTACATATATATATATATGTATTAGTAGCACGAGTTTCCGTTTGCTCGGGAGGTCCTTGTCTTTTGAGATGCAATGTCGGGGTGAAGCGAAGAACGCTTGGAAGTCTGTGCCCGATGGGGTTGGAACGTGCGGGTCTAACAGCGTTGAAGTCACCTCGGTGTGCCGCCACAGCCATGATCGATGTGCAAATGAGAGACATGCTACGCAAATCATGTTGGCTGTTAATTACATTCAAGAGGATGTTGAACCATCCTGGTACACAACACACCAACACACACACTCTGACACTTGTAATCCGTTAACGCAATTTCACGATGGGAA